TGTGTGGGGAGCAGCCCTTTCATCTCTCCGAACAGGGTACAAGTGGCCCAGCTGCCTTAGGGCTGGCTGCAGGCAGAGCCAGGCCACCCGGTGCTGGCCTAGGCCTGAGAGAGGAAGTGGAAGCAGCTGAGTCCCCGAGGCAGGTTCTGAGGTGGAAGCCCTAAGTCTTAGGCTTCTTCTTCCTTCCATGGGTAGGGACCCATCCAGGTCACTCCACGGCAGTGTTGAGCTAGACTCCACCTTTCTTATTGGGCTCTGCTCTGCCTCTCTCTGAAGCTCAGAGGGAAGACAGAATCAGCAGCTCTGATGTCTCCCACCTCCCTGGCCCAGGTGGCTGGACTCAGTCCCTGATTTGAGCACTTACGTTTCCCCAGTGAGAACCCTTGAGCTCACCTGGGCTGCTCTTTGAACGTCTATTATCCATGGTCTAGTAGGAGAGGCCCGCAGTGAGATGACTGAGTCCTGTTCTCTCTTGGTGCGGAGATCAAGAGCTCGGATCACATAGCGTTTCCCAGATATGGCTCACTGGACTTTCTTTTCTTGCCACATTAATAGACATAGCATCCAGAAGGGGGAAATCTCTTCATTAAACCAAATGGGAGGTACTGGAAGAAACAGCCCATCAGGTGTCTGCTGCAGACTTTTGTGGGGGCTTCTCCGTGGGGAAGGCATGAGCAGATGGCCGCCAGGCTCTTTGCCTGTGTCCTGACTCTCTTCCTCTGCTAGGGGCCATTGGTCCATGCTGCATAGCCTTACAGAATCGCAAAGCAAACAGAGCCATGGGTCTCCCTGGCTGCTGGATAAGCAGTTCTGTGCTTAGCCAGGCACTGAGTGGGTCCCTGGGTGAGCTCAAGCAAGGTCAAACTGAGCCTCCAAAGGGCAGTTTTGATGCCAGGCAGAGCAAGTTGGCTGCTAGCCTGGTAGAACTCACAGGCTCCGTGATACTTGCTGCCCCCCACCCCACGCTCTCACCCCAGTCCCTTACAGACTGTGCTGTTTCCTCCAGTCCAGGCCTGTTAGCTCTTCCCAGAACACCCTTCACCACCACCCCCATCCTCAATAGGCACCTCCTTCCTTGGGCACAGTCTTCCTCCAGTGGCCTAGGAAGGTCTCTCAGGCTTCCTGGCTGCACAGTTGGCCCGGATATCAATACCTGGGCTCCAGTGTAGCCTCCCACAGCTACATGCTGTGATCCTGAGCTGTCACTCCTCTGGGAACTCTGGCTTGGTGGGACATTCCCTTGGCCGTGATGAGCAGCTGGAGTATCGGAAGTTACATCTCTGCGCAGGAGTGCGTGGGTGGGATCCTCAGTTTGAGGCTATGCATTGTCTGGGGAAGGATGCCTCTGGGGGTGGTAAGTGGGAGTGATGAGGGATCATTATAATTGCCAAGATCATCCAGGAGCTGAGAGCTGCTGAAGGACCAATCAGCACCACGCCTCCATCTCCTGAGGAGGAGCACACCCATATGTGTTGACTGACAACCCAGCATCACAGACCATTTAGCTGGGGCCGGGGCTGTGACTTTACCCTCCTCAACCATGTCTCCCTTTGTGTCTCAGTGCTCAGATCCCTAGCGCCACCCCAACCCATTTGTCCCTCATAGCAACCCTGTGTTTTGTGGGGCTCAGAGAAGTAGTATATCTTGAATAAGGTCACACAGCCACAGATGGCAGAAGAGTCCCTTTGACCATGAACTGTCTGATGCTTTCCTTTGCTCGTGTTATTATAAATAGCAGTGGCTCCCACTTCCTTTGTCCTGAATTTCCCACTGTCCTCTGTTCTTCCCTGGGGTAGGCCCCTCCTCGCCACCCTGTGGAATCCCAAGTCCTTTGTAGCAGTCCATCTGTTGCCATGGCACCAGATTATGATGTCGCAGACCCTGGATGACTATGTATCACTCCTGCAGTGTGGAGTACAGGGGCTCACAGAGGTGGGCATTGTACAAGGGGCAGACTGGCACAGAGGGACATAAATCCCTGGAAACAGCGAACCACAGCCTGGAGCCCAGCTGGGGAATTGCCCTGGGAACCAAAGCCAAGGCCAGGAGAGTAGGATCTGGCATGGCCTGCAATGATGGTCCTGACCGACTGCTTGGCCTCTTCTGTGGCAGGGCTGGACTAGCCTGGTTACACTGGAGAGACCTGAGGATGCTGAGCTTATTCTCTGAGCTCTTTTTGCCTTTTGTCCTGGGGCAGTGCTACACAAGATAGCCACCTCCCTACTGACTTAGAGACAGAAGGAACTTGCTCCCAGTCCCCTAGTGAAGAGGTGGACATGCCAGGATTCATCTTAAGCTCCTGTGCCAGATCCTTCTATGTGATTTCAGAGGTCTAAAACAGCGCCTTCAAAGGTGGTTTAGTCTAGTCTCAAACCTGAAAGTGATCATGCCGCCTCAGTTTCTCCAGGGTAGTCCATTACCCAAGCCTAGGTCACCGTAGGCCAGGTTTCTGCTGTACACTTTTGGGCACATGGCAAGGGTATATGTACCTGTGGGGAAAGAGCCTCTGTGCTGCTTGGTTGCCTTGCCACAAGGTCCCCGAGGCTTGAGGGGCATCTGTCTCAGGAAAAAGTGGAAAGGGATTTACTTGCCTTTGGCAGCCGCCACACAGACCCCTGCAGCCCTTCTTCCGCCGCCTACCCACTCTCCTCTGAGCCTCAGTTTCCTCTGTGAAAGGATTAATCGCAGCCGCCAGGATAGCTGTGAGGGGTTCCTAGGACTTGGGGTGAAAATGACCAGGATACTGGAACAGTCTGTCCCTAAGTCTGCCATGGGCCGGCCGGCCCTGAAACTGTCATTTCTAACACTTGACTGCTATGGCTTCCATGCCCAATGTCTGTCACGTCTTAGCATACAGGGAGAGACCAAGCTCTCCCCTACGTTCCCAGAATGTCCAGAAAGAATGCTGGGATGTTATCTGGCTGGCTGAGTCCCTGCATCACCTCGTGCGAGTTGTCTCACTCCTTGGCAGGCAAAGTCCCAGGCTTGCCCCCTTATTTGAGCATCTTGGACTTGCTGTCCTGTTCTCTGTATTCCCAGGGCAGAGGCTTATTGGATACTGGGTCTGTCACTGTCTCCTCAACTTATTTGGGGGCTTTTCTGACACACTGCACCACCGTTTAGGGATTCTGCTGGTTTAAAGAGCAGGTTTTTGACTTGACAGGTTCAGATCTGCTCTCACTTAGCATGTGATCTCGGGCATATAACTTAATAGCTTTCCTTGGGACTCTGCTTATGTCAAGTGGGGAAATATCAGGCTGTTTGTCCTAGGGTGTCCTGAGTAAAACATCCAGCAGAGACTGAGAGAACTGGAAAAATAAAAAAGAGGCATCTATCTTAAGAAGACATGAAGAAAATTCTTCAGAATACAGATGCACCATAAGGGATGCCATGGAAAAGCAAAGCAGACATGGAGTGTGGAGCCAAAGAAACCAGTCACTTCCCCCAAAACCCTGCTAGGCAACTGGAGGATCACAAGATGGGAAAACCAAACCAAAACCAAACCAAAACAAAAAATACTTAGGTCATGGAAAGTGCATCCCAAGGGGAAGGAGCCCTGCCCTGGATGTGTAACAGTAGAGAGGCCAGACATGGGCTTGGTGTCCTCCTGGGGTCTACCCTGAGTTGGGTCCTATGTGGAATCTGACATGGTACCTGTTGTGGAGGGGCAGGAGAAAAGCAAGCCACACCAGACCACAGAATCAGCGAGGACACAGAGCAGAGGGCATCAGATTTAAGGGCACAGGCCAAAAGCAGCCTGTGGCTGGACTTTGAAAACAAAATTGTATGGAAACACAGCCCTGTTCACCCACCTCTTTCTGCCGGGGCTCTGCTCACAATAGCAAAACTGAGGTGCAGGACTGAGCCTGTGCAGCCAAGAGCCCCAAACAACTACTATCTGCACCAAGCTTAGCAAGCTATAGAGGACCACTTAGAGAGAAGGTTTTCAAATGACAGCCTGAGCAGAGTGCGTGGTATTAATATTGTGTAGGGACCAGCAGTAATCAGGGTGGGGCCGACTGAGAAGTTGGAGAGGGAAGAAAAAGGAGGAAAACTTAGCCCCTAGAAAGGGGCAGTGTCTAGATGGCCCTAACATCATATTTAGTGCCACTGTCATTCAGGAAGAGGACTCCCAGGCTCCATAAGGACACTATCCCTGCCAGTTCTAGGACCTCTTGACCTGTGACTACCTACTATGTGCAAAAGATTGTATCTTGAAGGCTGGAGAGATGGCTCAGCAGCTAAGAGCAATGGCTGCTCTTCCAGAGGACCCAAGTACAATTCCCAGCGCCCACATGGCAGTTCACAACTGTCTGTAACTCCAGTTCCAGGGTATCTGACACCCTCACACAGACATGCAAACAAAACACTATTGCGTGTAAAAGTAAAAAAAATAAATAAAGATTGTGTCTTATGGAATCCCCTTCCCTTTCCTTACAAAGAAGCCAAAGGCAGAGAAGGGAAAGTATCTGACTTGAGAGTACATGGCAAAGCAGAATAGCCAAGACACAAACTCAGGCCTGCTGGCCCCTGTGCAGAGCGCTCCTTTCCTGACACCACTCCTGGACCCCCAACCCAAGCCTAGAAGCTGAAAGCAGGCGATGTTGACAAGTCTGACTTTTAGGGTTCATGATCATGAGCTCCCTGGCGCTTTTCCAAGGGGCCTGGTTATGTGGTGGTATAGGCAGGTGAAGACAAAAGTCTCTGACTTTTAGAGTTCATGATCATGGGCTCCCTGGTGCTTTTCCAAGGGGCCTGGTTATGTGGTGGGCTAGGCAGGTGAACTGCCTACAGGGAGGAGTTGAGAAGTGGGGTGGCGGGAAGCGGTGGTGCCAGCCTTGCTGGACTTGAGCTCCCTACTTACGGACCCTGTGGGGGGTTTGGGGTGTACCTTTTAGGCTGAGCACAGCCAGCTACCCATTTGCCACCTGATTCTGTCTTAGAGAAGCATTCTATATGCTCAGCAGACCCTTATGCTCTTTCGTATCTTCGTCCCACAGCCAAGAGGACCTGTGCAGACAGCGACTTTACCTGTGACAACGGCCACTGCATCCCGGAGCGCTGGAAGTGCGATGGGGAAGAGGAGTGTCCTGATGGGTCTGATGAATCCAAGGCCACTTGTGGTGAGTCCTGCCCTGGACCTCAGTTTCCTCACCAGCATTTTCATGCTGGCAAGTTGTTGGGCTCACGGGAGACGGTCAGAGGATACTCTGTGCCGGGCCCTCTGGGGAGTGGAGGCTCCTGGTAAGCAGGCAAGTGTTTAGCTGCTCCCCGTCGCCTGTGCCCCGCCTCTCTTCTAGCACCCTCGTAGGTTTGACTATTCCTGCGGCACCAGGAGTTAGAATCAGCCCCAAATGCTGCTCCGAAGCAGCCCTGGCTCATCTTCCGGGCCGCCTGCTCTCATTCTTGAGGATCTCAATTGTAATTCCAGTGGCACTAAGGGCAGCTGGTGCTTGTTAATCATTTACTGTGTGCCACACCTCGCTAAGCCCTTTGTACGCCGCCGTCCTTTTATCTTCTGAGCAGCCTCTAGAGGCAGGAACTACTACTTTCTGCATTTTCAAAAGGGGCATGCTGAAGCTCAGAGAGTTGGCGTGATTTGTCCATGGCCACCCAGCCAGGACTTCAGGGCCCAGCTCTTCCCTCTGTGTTGGGTGAGCTGAGTACAGGAGGCCTGTTCTTCATGGTTAGCTAGATGGTGGCAGAAGGAAGCAGGGCTCCAGGACTGCTTTGTCTCTCGGGATTTCTTTTCTAGGCTCTAATCCTCAAAGCAAACTTAGACCTGGCAGGTCATTCCCTGACATTTGTTAAATTAAAAAGGAGATGAGAAGGGGGAGGGGGCGGACCTAGCGGTCCAGAGGCAGAGCTTCTGTAGCGCGAGCCTGAGACAAAAGGCTGGGGGAAGCACGTGGAGATGGTGGGACTAGGGGGTGGGGGATCCAGGAGCCCCTCTCTGGGGCTAACATTTGCCCCAGAGGTAAAGACAGGGACAATGGAGGCCAGAGTCCTATCTAAGGCTGCCGCTAATGATAGCTGGGTTTCCTTGTCTCCTAGCAACAGAGCTACCAGTTTCCAAGACAGAAAGAGAAAGGGAGAGCAAGAGAGACCCCCAACCCCAGACAAAGGGCCCCTCATTTCCTAGGCAGCTGCCAAGCCCTCCCCAGTTTTACTGCAGGCCCCATCCTTTCCTTACCATACCAAATGCCACTCCATGCTGTCCTGGAGGCGTGCGGGCAGAGGGAAGCCCAGTGCTTTCTCCCACCCTGCCAAGGAACAAAGCCTTACCACACTTGCCTGTGACTGTCATCCTCATGCCAGCCTAGAGAGAGGGTGGTGGATTCCCCAGACCGGACCGGGTGTGGCCAGTTGGCCATGGCTGCTCAGCTGAGAAGGGACAGAGTCCTGTGTCTCTTAGAGAGTTTCTAGGGGTGGTTTGCAGCTCCTACCCTAACGGTCAGCCTGTTTTGCCTCGCCCCGGGCGTGGGTAGGGGCTTTGCGGACATTATTGGGGAGGAGGGCTGTCTTGCTCCCCTTCTCTCCACATCTCCGTCTCGTGATATTGCTTCCTCCTTGCCCTCTTGGGGCCTACTCACCTATCCCCCTCCCTCTCCTGGGCTCCCTCCCTTCCTGCTCATGCTTCCTGCCTCCAGCCTCCCTCCTGCTACTCTCTCTCCCATCCTGCCTATTTCTGTCTTCCCCAAAACGCCAGTGCTCACTGCCTTCCTACCTCGTGGTCTGTGCTGGACCCACACTGCCCACTTATCTTGATTCCTAGGCCTCCTTATATTTAACAGCTGAACAGCTAGAGCCCGAAAACTTGATAGACCCACCTCACAGACACACAAATAGCCTATTTGTGGCAAGCACCTCTCCAGTGACAAAAGACAGGATTTTCAGGCTTTCTGAGATTCATGGGAGCAGCAGCCGGGATTGAAGAGGCCCAGCTCTCTGCGGATTACCCAGGCAATTGCTGTGAGAACCTGTCTCTGCTGCATGCCCTCCAGTATGGGTCCCAATCTAGAATCCCATAGATGTTCCCTTTTTTAAGATTCCTAAATTCTTAGTAGTCCAAGACCCACTTTCTGCCCTTGTCCAGGGGGGTGCAAAGTCTAGGATCCCTATTCCCTGAAGCACTGCATTGGTCAGAAGCAATGGCCACAGGTTCTGCCACTAGGGAGGGCTGCCTGGAAGAGTCAGCCAGAGAAGACCTTGAAGACCAGGCAGAATTTGGGGCGGCAGGACTGGTAGCAGGCTTACTCACAGCTTCCCAACTGAATGAAAACCCAGCAGCCAACCCGTTGTCCATTTAATTGGTGTTGCCATAGCAACCTCCATAGCCTACCAGGTTTCTGGGACTATGCCAGCTCCCAGGATAGAGCCTTACTCCTCACCCCTAACAGAAAGATTATAGATAGAAGAGTGTAGTAGGTTTGAGATCTGAATCAGCTGGGTCAGGTCTTTGCCTTGAAACCTCATATAAGTTGTCCAGTCTTCCTGAGCCTCAGTTTCTCCTTTTGTAAAATGATATGGTGATATTTACCTTATAATGGGTGTATGACTCCGCTGAGAAAATACAAGAATTGGAGTAAGTGCCAGTGTTGTTTTTTATTGTTCATGGACTGCAGCATCTCTGCCCCCAACATTACAGTTTATTAGGATATCAGGACACTAACTTTGTGCTATTAAAATACTATGGGCTGGGGATGTGAGAAGCAGAGGGACCTGGGATCGGTACTCATCAGATACAGCCAGAGTCACAATGGGAAAGCCCAGAACATTTGCCTAATGAAAGTATCATTTGGGCTCTAATTATAGCTCTCTTGATTGGAGCAGTCTCTGACCCACCTTCAGGCATCTGTGGGGAGGGTGCAGGCAGGCAGGGAGAGGAGAGAGTGGTTCAGGGGAATGAGCTACAGATCTGGGTGTTGCATGCTGCATGTGAATTTTCCCCTTGCATCTTAGCAGCTAGAAGGGGCCCTTACTGCTCACCTGCTTCTTATAGATGAGGGAGTACAGGCCTGGAGATCTGAGATCACCCATTTTGCCTGATGCTGTGTGAAGGAGCCTAGTGTAACTCTGCTCCTTCAGGATGACAGGGTGCTTCCTAATGCAGGGGCCCAGTCAAGTGACACTGGTGGTTGCTATGGTCCACTTGGAGCAGGTAATCCCCATTTGTCCCTAAAACTCAAGTCTCTAAAACTACAGACCAGTGAGTAGCCACTACGTACTATCAACAAACATTTTCCTTGTTTCTTTATGTATTAGCTTGTGAGTTGGCAAAAGTACCTGTGGATTTGGATTTCTGGGACAGGATTCTCAGGAAATTAATAAATGCCTTCAGTTGCTTCAGGGTGGAGTTTTAAGCCCCTCACCAGTGTTGTGAGGGGGCAGTGCAGTGATGATTATTGCTTCTGCCTGGGACACTTGCACAGCAAGCCAAAAGTGCCCCTTGGGAGCATCTGTCCCAGAGAGAAAGGCTGTACGGGGGTGGGAACTCCTGTGCACTCCCGTGGGGTGATACCAGCCTCCCCACAGGTCATTTACATTTTCATCGCATGAAATAAGATAAGAGCAATTGTGTCCTGAGCTCCAGTGTATTCCAGGCTTTTGAGAACAGGCACTTCCACACTGCCTCATACAAACCCCAATTGCAGCAGAGGAGACCCAGGGAGCATAGAAGTTAAATGCCTTGCCTAAGAACTCTAGTGTTAGTAAATGAGATTTGGACCTAGCTTTATTGACTCTAAAACTAAGGTTCCTTCACCTATACCAACTTGCCTATGGTCTTGGCTTCAAGGATCCTAGGAGTAGCCATCAGATGGCCATGTCGCTCAGCCTAGCTGAGCAAGGAAAGGCTAGCTGAGCATCTCACTGATCTCTCCAGCCATGCTGGGAAAGCAGCGGTGTCCTCCTGTGCAGTGGCTGTACAGCATGGACCTGGGATGGAGGTCCAGCTCGTCTCTCTCCATAAGTTTCTCAGCCTGCAACTTACACTCTCCAGGCTTTCCTCTCTGCCTGGGAGATGCCCATCAACAGTCCCTGCAGCTGCGCAGTGGAGAGGCCTGACCTGGAGCCTGGAGCCCCAGCTTTGGGGAAGAGCTGTACCACAAGAGAGGCACAGGCAGTGTGGTTTCAGGAGAGACAGGCATTTGACACACCTACCTCTCTCTGGGCCCTGGAATACCACTCCAGGAGACACTTGTCAACTTGGTCTTCTTGGCCTCTTGTCCTGGCATTCCAAAGAGCCTTGGCACTCTAGGGGTGAAGGAACCAGTAGTAGGCACTGCTGGGTCCTTGAGAGCCTGTAATTAGAACTGTCTATTTAGGGATACAGCAAATGCCTTATTAATTATAAAGAAAGGAAGCAGACAGATTGTTTAATCATTGTCCTTGTTGAAAGGTTATGCTGTTAACTGTATAAATATTCATTAAAAGTTCAATCGGCTGCCTGCTGCAGGACCAGGCCTCCGAAGGTGGCGCATCTGGCCAAAGGCTGTTTCAGTCACCTAGGCATGGGGAAAGAGAATTTGGGGCTGTGTCTCTGCCATGCATGGTTTGATGGAAGGACAGGGCTTTTGTCAGAGGAACCCAGATTCTGTCTTTAATGTGCTGTACACTTTGGGTGAGCTACTTGATGTCTCTGAACTTTAGGACTGCTCACAGCCTTCTTCCTTCCAGGATTAGGGTGAGGGGCATGCTGGGCATCTTGGTTGGTTCTGGCTAAATGCCACAGACTGGCCTGGCTAAGCTGTACATAACAGAAACCTAGTGCTTACAGTTCCATTACATGTACAGGGTCTAGTGAGGTCCACTCCTCACAGAGCTGCCTTCTCACCCAGACCTTCGCAACAGAGGGCATGGAGGCTACCTCGAGCATTTATGTTATATATAATTTTCATTGTATATGTTCATGTACATGGTACTGTGTTCCATAAGGACAGTGTCATACAAATACCGTGTTAAGCATATTCTTCCTCCCTCCCCTCTCCTGTTAGCTCCTTCATTCCTCTAGATAATTTTGCTTCTATTTTAATGTCATATACACACACTTAATTTTATATATTCATATAAAATTAGAACCACAAATGAGAAGACATGCAATATTTGTCTTTCTGAGTCTAGCTTAATTTGCTTAATGTGATTATCTCCAATTGCATTCCCTTTCCTACAAATGGCGTAACTTTGTTCTTTATGGCTGAAAAAAAAATCCCATTGTGTATATATACCACATTTTGTTTGTATCCATTTCTATAAGAGGGCACTCACCCCACTGGTGAGGGCACATGACTTAATTGTCTCCTAAAGGTGAAGTGGAGTGGGGAACCAACTCCTCGGCCTGGCATAGTCTGACCCACTTAGGTGCTTGTAACTGTGGCCCTTTCAACTCTGTGAGGCCTAGTTCTCTGAGCACTTGCTCTGGGTTAGTGCTTAGTGGTTGCCTCATCCTTCCACTCCGCTGCTCTCTCAGGGGTTTGCAAACATTTGGACACCTATATCACTGCTAGGATGCCATGGTATTACAAAGAGATGAGGTGTGCCATATCCTCCATGTGAAGATTTTTAGCTCGGGCTCTTACCTAGAAGTGCTTGGGTTAAGAGAACTTACTAAATGCAGGTTCCAGGTCCTAGAGCATGGCTCAGCCATTAAGAGTGTGTTCTACTTTTCCAGAAGGCCTGAGTTTGGGTCCTCCTCCCACCAGCACCTCCACACACGTAGCAGACACACATTCACACGAAGAAATATATAAAAAATTTAAAAATTAAATATTAAAAAATTTAAAAATGCAAATTCCTTGGCTTTCGACATCTAGATCAGCCAATATGACTCGAGGCCTCTTGGTTAGAGTACGTTCTGGGAGACAGCTGGTCAGCTCCAGCTGCTTCATGGTCTAAAGTATCAAGAAGCGCTCAGGGTTCTCCAGTGTTGGTGACAGAAGAGCCATCTCCAGATGCCCATCCCCCTTTGTCACTCCAGATGATAACCCAAAGTGGCCTTTTGGGGCAGGGGGTTGGAGACAGGGTTTTTCTCTGGGTAGTCCTGGCTGTGCTAGAACTGACTCTGTAGACCAAGCTGACCTCCAACTCACAGAGCCGCCTACCTCTGCCTCCCAAGTGCCGGGAATGAAGGTGTGTGCTCCACCACCCAGCAAAAGTGGCCATTTCATGTATGTATGTATGTATGTATGTATGTATGTATGTATGTATGTATTCTTTTAGGTATGAGTCCTCAGTCTGCATTTCTGCAGGCCGGAAGAGGGCATCAGATCCCACTATAGATGGTTGTGAGCCACCATGTGGTTGCTGGGAATTGAACTCAGGACCTCTGGAGGAGCAGCCAGTGTTTTTAACCACTGAGCCATCTCTCCAGCCCCCACTCCCCCACCGTCAAGTGGAATTTTAAGAGCTCACTGAATGTTGGTGCTTTCCAAAGCCCTACCTGACAGTTATTTCATGTAGAGTGAATATATGAATTCCATGTTCCCATTGGACTGCCTTATTCATGGCAAGTATTCCAAACCTGCCCACATTTGTGGTCCACATGGGACTGAAGGCGCTCTTCCCCAATACATAGTATGTATCATCTGGGGACCTTGATTTAGACACCTGCCCCAACCCACTTTCCTGCGCCTTTTCTTGGCCCACTTTTATTCATCTCTGTGGCCTCTCACCACCAGCCACAGAAATGAGATGAGAGGAAACAGATCAGAGTGAGACATGAGTTACCATTCTTCTGAACGTACAGAACAGTTTCCAGCGCTGATATCAGACACAGCTGCCATATCTTCATGTCACTCGTGTGTGTGTGTGTGTGTGTGTGTGTGAGAGAGAGAGAGAGAGAGAGAGAGAGAGAGAGAGAGAGAGAGAGAGAGAGATGGAGACAGACAGAGAGACAGAGACAGACACTCAGGGCTTACTCAGCAGTGCTCAATCTTACCCACTGAATGGATAAACAAGACTGAGTCTCATCCAGTATGTGTAGATGATAATAATGGGGAACATGGACTGAGCCTAGGATGGATGCACTTCTAAACATTTTACAGACATTAATCTGGTCATTACAACCATCCTATGCAGTGGGTCATAGCATCATCTACACTTGGTTGAAACAAAGAGAAATAGTTTAGGCCAAGGTCACGTGGCCAGTGAATGACTGAGCCATGATTCAAACCCAGGCAGCCAGCCTTCATAGCCCACATCCTCACTTTTCACGCTGGGGGCCAAAACATAACCCTCACCCTGCTGGGTTATTATGAAGATGAAATGGAAATGTCTAGCACTGTGCCCGGCACAATCCAGAGACCTGAAGCTGGGACGCCTGCGCCCTGGAGAAGGCAGCAGGGAGCCAACCAGAAAGGTCGAAGATTCATCTGCCCCAGCTGTCATGTGGAGCAGGGAGAGCTCAGAGTAAGAGCTGCCCACCGGTCCTGAATAGGGTTCTCATTCTTCCAAATTGAGAATCAACCCTGGGGCTCTAGGCCCCTGATTGAGTCAGCCTCTGATTGCAGCTGCAGTAATTATAGCTGTGCAGTCCCGCTGGGCCCTGCACGTGGAGGTTGTTCTCAGTTGTGGGCTCGGCACCGTCTTACAGAGACAAGATTGTTGCTGCTAGGGTTTTGGTGAGCCCTCCAAACCCATGGGTTCAAATCACGGAGCTGCTGGTCTGGAAGGTACACTGAGGTCTGTTAGGCATACCTTACCCAAAGGCACACAGTGGGAACACAGAAAGGGTGTAGCAGCTCCATATTGTGAGATCTTAAAGGGAAAATGGGTAGGGCCCTTGGATCAAGAAAGACTTGAAGCTGGGCACTGGTGGTGCATGCCTTTAACCCCAGCACTTGGGAGGCAGAGGCAGGTGGATCTCTGTGAGTTCGAGGCCAGCCTGGTCTACAAAGTGAGTTCCAGGACAGCCAGAGCTGTTACACAGAGAAACCCTATCCTGAAAAACCAAAAGAGTAAAAAGAAAAAAAAAAAGACTTGAATGTCTTAGGCTAGGAGAGCATGAGAGAGTGTTAGGTGAGGCAGTGTGGGGTGGGGGTCAGATTTAGGACTTAGGACGCCTTTAGAGAAGATTGGCTTCCAATGAAAAGACACGGGGCAGGATGGCCCTAGTGGACTGCTAGGGACTTACACCAAGCAGCAGGACTGGTTGGTGCTGTATCCCTTAACTAAGCCATGAACACCGGATGTCTGTCTCTGCAGCCAGAGAAGAGTGTCCTGATGAGAAGCTGAGCTGTGGACCCAGCAGCCACAAGTGTGTGCCTGCCTCGTGGCGTTGCGACGGAGAGAAGGACTGTGAGGGCGGAGCGGACGAAGCTGGCTGTCCTACCTGTGAGTCCAGAACCCCGTTGTCTGCCAAGCAGTCGGGCACCCTCAGCAGTGGGGGACCCCTTCTTGGAAGGGGCCTGTTTCTCTATGGGGTCTGATAGGCGGGGAGGAAAGAATAACAATGAGAACGTTAGAAACGGCTGGGCCCCTAGACATGTTCCTCTGTCATCCTCTCAACCACCTCATGAAGAGCCATTACCATCCCCATTTCATGGGTGAGGAAACTGAGGCTCAGACAGGGAGGAAACGTGCCCAAGACTGAGGGTTGGAACTGAGATTCAAAGTCAGGTCTAACACACAGCTTTCTGCCATGTCTGACATCTGCTCATCCATTCTACAAGTCAACTGATCTCCAAGCAAGAGCAGGGGAACGAAAGGCTGGGCTGTTTGAAGGTGGAGTCTGGTGCCAGGGCACTGGCAGCACTGGGAATGGGGCGTGTGCTGACAGATGCCTAGGGTGTAAAGGATGACTGCTGCTCGAGTTTCAGACTGGGGTACATATCACATACAGAGAAGATACTCCCATCAGCCTCAGCAGGGACAGATGGACGTGGTCATTGGGACCGTTCCACGTGGCTGAACTTCAAACACAGGATTATCTCCTTCTCAGAGAGCAGGCCAGCAAGGTTTGGGGGTGGGGGGCATGGTCCTGGTTATCCTGGGTACCTGCTATGTGCCAGGTCTGGAGTAAGGTTCTGAAGGGGACGATAAGGCGATCCTGTAATCTTCCCCTGGGGACTACAGACTGGCCTGGGCTGGAATTCAGGAGCGTGCATGTCAGGCACTTGTCCACCACTGCCTCTCAGAGCATCTCCTCACCCCACCCAGTCTCTCCTGGCCATCCCTCCTGGTCCAGGAGCAAGGCCATTTCCTCCTGAGGCTTCTGAGATTCCAAATGTGAGGGCTGAGGGGTCCGAAGAAATGTATGGAGAGGGCAGGGGTCCTGGCAAGTGCTGGCACTGGCTTCAGCTGTGGTAGTTTTGTGAGAACTTCCCACCCATGCCAGTCACCCTTTCCTCTCATCACCCCCATCCTTATAATCAAATGATGCTTCCAGTATAAAACTAGCAGCCACTATTGCAAGGAGTGGGGGGGGGGGCGAGTACCTGACCAGGACATGTTGGGACAGGGACATCTCCTGTTAATTACAGGAGCTGAAGGTATTAGAAAGGATTATCAGGCTCTCTGTGGCCTGGGCAGAAAAGGAACCTTCCCTTCGCCAGTTCTCTGAATGTAGGGAGTGGGGTCCCTGGGCCTTAGTGGGATTTTCCAGTGAAGGTCAGCTTCAGAACCTTGTTGAGAATCCAGTGTTAAGAAGCACTTCCTGTCAGGACTCTCAGGAGACAGACTCTTCTCTCCCTGGGTATGTAAAGTGTCTAGACAGGCAGGAGGATATCAGCAGCAGGATCTTGGGGAATGTGGCACCAGAGAACACATGCTTTTCCCTCTGATGCCCCCACATCCCAAAAACCCAGAAGGGGGAAAATGCAGCTGTCGGAAACTTAGTAGAGCTGTCAGGAGAACATGACAAGGTCTGCCTACATTGTAACACCGAAGACATCACTTTATTTTATGTTCAGTAAATGAAAATTGACATCTTGGCACTGAAAAAATAGAAACACGGACCCTGGGCGCCCCCATATGGAGAGATATGGAACTGCCACCACGATGTAATAGCCACAGCATTTCTGACCCACCTGAGTCCTGAGGCCAAAGGTTGACGACGTGAAAAAGGGGAGGAGGCTTGAAGGAGGAGGGAATGGGTTCTTGAAAACAGCTGACACTCCAGAAAGTGAGGGAAAACAAGCAACAGGAAAGCTGGGAGAGGTCAGAGTAGGAAGAAAATGCCCCAAACCTGAGTTCTGGGCGCCCCTGAGCGAGGTGCTCCCCTCTCTGAGCCTCAGTTCTCTTAGCTGTAAACTAGCACCTGGGCTGGCTGGGCCCCAAGGCCCTTCCTGTGGACTCCAGGCTAGCCTACCAGAGAGAGGACGCCCAGAACCCCAATAGGGCAGGACCTGTTCTTTAATGACTTGGTCCACACCCACATCCTGCCACATCTAAGGGGCTATGCCAGTCCTTAGAATAATGGGGTGTGAAGGACCTGGAACCCCGACGTGGGGTGGCTGTGAACAGCACTAGACAGGCTGGGGCAGAAGGGGATTTCCTAAGCAAGGAAACAAGCAGCCTGGGTTGGGTGACGATGGAATTTGGACCCGGGCACAGGAAGAAGGCTGACTGATAACTAAAAGGAACAGTGGGCAGCAGTGGGTTCCCAGGAGATGGCGCAACTTTAACAAAACCGTGGAGGGGAACTGTGTGCTCCCGGCCTAGTAAATCATCCAGGTGGCCATAGTTGGGTGTGGTCATGAGTGAGGAGCAGGGACCAGGGTAGTAGATGCCAGGCTGGAGACTTTGTAGTCTCGGCAAGCTATGTATCCAACTCTGCCACAGTAGGCAAACCCTTGCCCTCCTCTCATCTGGTGTCAGTCATGTTACAGATGATTTCCTATCCTGCAGGACAATAGGGCTCTGCTGCGTTAGAGCCTCTCGCAGCCCCACCATGCTGCTGGTTACAGGGCAGAAATTCTGTATATTTGCCGAAGTTCAGGGAAGGCAAGTGTGGTTCAAGGTCAGTTAGCATGACTGAGGCCCCTGCTTTCAAGTGGCGGTCTCTCATGCCGTGCTCCCCCTTCAAGTCGGCAACAGGACCTACTCCAGCCTATAGGCGAGGGTCAGAACACCCTGTAACCTCAGTAGCCAGTAGCAGGAGCTGGGCTGGGTCATGGGGGATGGGATCTGGACCAGCTCTCTGTCCTGCGCAGTGTGCGCCCCGCATGAGTTCCAGTGCAGCAACCGTTCCTGCCTGGCCTCTGTGTTCGTGTGTGATGGCGATGATGACTGCGGTGATGGCAGTGATGAGCGCGGCTGCTCGGACCCGGCCTGCCCGCCCCGCGAATTCCGATGTGGAGGAGCTGGTACCTGCATCCCTGAGCGCTGGGTCTGCGATGGCCAGTTTGACTGCGATGACCGCTCGGATGAGGCTGCCGAGCTTTGCGGGCGAGCGGGCCAGGAGACCACAGCCACGCCTGCAGCCTGCGCCCCCACGGCCCAGTTCACCTGCCGCAGTGGCGAGTGCATACACCTGGGCTGGCGCTGCGATGGCGACCGCGACTGCAAGGACAAGTCTGACGAGGCCGACTGCTGTAAGCCCCCTCTACGCTCCCAGTCCCACCCAGAGCCTGCTGATATGGCCCTCCTACCGGGAGTACATACCCTGCTTTAACAGAGACTTACACTGGGAGAATGAAGTGACTTGCGGGAGGTCACATGGCTGCTAAGGAATGGAGCTCAGATCTGACCCCAGAAGCCAGGCACCTCTTGTCTCTGCTATGTGCACCTGTTGCTGCCCAGAGACATCTGTCCTAGGAGTGCCTACATGCTGGGCCCGTCAGATTCTGCTGACTGTCCCAGCTAAGTGGGTCCCTTCCAGGACTTTGGCAGACCCCTGCTGCCCTCTCCTGCAGGCACAACTCACACTGTGGCATTTTCTTCTGTGCATTTCTCATCTCTGCACCTGAGCTTCTGGAAAGGGGCTCTTAGACTCCGGGCTCCCCACCAACACCCAGCACAGTGCCAGGTTCAGGAAAGGTTGACTGAGTGAACCAAATCACTAAGTCATGAGCGCCAGGACTCAATGGAAACCACACGTCTGTGCTGAGGTGGTGGTGGACAGGGAAACAGGAAACTGGAATGCTGTGTGACCTTTGGCAAGGCCTTCCCCCTCTCTGAGCTTCAGTCTCCCCATGTGTACACTAGAGATGCTTTGACTAAGTGTCCTCCGAGGCCTCCTGAGCTCGGTCGCTGTTCCATTCTTAATGGGGTGGATGTGGCATGAGGTTGTGGGGACAGCTTTTGTGTCCTCCGAGGCCTCCTGAGCTCGGTCGCTGTTCCATTCTTAATGGGGTGGATGTGGCATGAGGTTGTGGGGACAGCTTTCCTAGCGCCACCCTGGTCCTGACCTCCTCTTGCCCTGTTTCAGCACCACCTGGACCCTGCAATGAGAATGAGTTCCAGTGTGGGGATGGGACTTGTGTCCTCGCGATCAAGCGTTGCAACCAGGAACACGACTGCCCAGACGGGAGTGATGAAGCCGGCTGCCTGCAGGGTGCGTTGCTCAAGAAGGTTGCCACCCTCTTGAGGATGGAAGCTCAGCCTGAGGAAAGGCCCTGTGGCCCTCCCTGGCCTGGAGAGAGCCGAAATGGGGGTGTTCTTTCCTTGGTCTCTGAGATGTATTTACCCCTTCAACATCGGTCACTTGCCCATTATCTTCTGTAATTTCTTCCCATGGGGTTCTGGGGCACAGGAACTGGACTCTTTTTTTTTTTTTAAGATTTATTATGTATATGAGTGCTCTATCGTCACATACACCTTTATGCCAGAAAAGGGCATCAGATCCTACTATAGATGGTTGTGAGCCACAATGTGTTTGCTGGGAATTGAACTCAGGACCCCTGGAAGAGCAGCCAGTGCTCTTAACCGCTGAGCCATCGCCAGCCCAAGAAGTGAACTTTTAATTAAGGACTTTGTAAAAGCTGAAAGAGGGCTAAGGGGACATGAGAATTACCGCAGGGAATCTAGCCTCCCCGCTATTTGTCTGCACCCGAGGCTTGCCTTACTAGCTCTCAGACTGAGCGGACACTGAATCCTGTCCTCCAAAGAGTCCCTCTCATTCTCAGGTGGCTCTGCTGGTCACCACTTGTCCTGACAAAATAGAGGTCCTACCCACTAGCCATGGGGAATAATTAGAGGGCAGCAAGGCAATGTGGGCCAATGCTCCCCCTGGGAGATGGTCAGCCCAGACTAAGTCCTTCTGGAGCTGCTGCACGGTCTTTCCCAGGAGCCTAATACTCCAACAGACAAAGACCCCTGTGTGGGTGAATGAGGGTCTGTCCTGTGGGAAGAGCCTCTTATAGGCCCTGGTTCCACTGTCTGTCCTAAGGTCCCCTAAGAGAGTTAGGGCTGGTGATTGAACTCTGTTCATTTTCTGTGGGCCTTGGCTGACCCTGCCCGGCCTTGCCCTCCCACCCACTGTCTCACAGGCACTGTCCACTCTCTTGTCTGGCCCGACAGAGTCAACCTGTGAGGGTCCCCGCAGATTTCAGTGTAAGAGTGGAGAGTGCGTGGACGGCGGGAAAGTGTGTGATGGTCAGAGGGACTGCCGGGACTGGTCGGATGAGCCTCAGAAAGAGTGTGGTATGCTACCTCTCTACACCTAACAGCTGGACTAATGCTCTCACTGTGCTCCCTCCTGGCGTCCAGGATAGAGGCCCTAGTACCTCTTCTGACCCTCTAGACCAAGTGCTGTCTATCCTGTCGCCTCACATCAGGCCATTTGCCATGAGGATCTCGTGCTGCAAAGCTCTAAGGGCCTTTCCCTTGAAGTCTAGATGCTCAAAGGTTAGACTGCTTCTAAAACTGACCTCTTCGCTTCTGCCATTCACAAACTATACAAACTGAGTGTGTGCCTTCTCAAGTTTCTCTCTTCCTCCATGTCCCTGCCCTGCTGATCTAGCCATGGCCTGGGTCCTTGAGCTCTTCCAGCCCTTGGTAGGACGCCTTGCAGAGTCAAAGGTTGGAAGAAGCAAGGAAGCCCGTTAGAAGTATATCCCAGCCAGCATCACTGCCAGCCCAGGCCTGGATAGGAGCAGGGTCCTCCCAGCAGCAGGCAGTGTCACCATTCTGAACTCTGAGAAGCTGGAACCTGGGCAAGGGTGAGGGCAAGGGATGATGTACAGTTTAAGCTGGAGGGAGAGGGAGGGCTGGCTAGCTGGTGACTAGCAAGCGCAGAAGAGATGTGAGTCACCTCTGCTTATGTCAGGACCGAATTCCAGAGAACCGGACAAAGGAGGCCCTGAAAACAGAGTCTAGCCCCTCCTTGTCCTCTCTCCAGGAAGACTGCCCAACACCTCCCCTACTGGGTACTCAGAGGAACGTCATGCCCCAGAGCTCCCCAGGAGCAGCCTCTTTGCTCTGAAAATTTCAAATGAAACCAGGCCGACTGCAAGGAAGAGTAGCTAAGCAAAGCTTGCTGAGCCTCCACCTGGGCTTGCAGGAGACCCACACTCTACTGCCCTCGGGCCCTGCCTGGAAAAGATCCAGAAGGGCCTTGTGGAAAGGGGGACAGGGAAACAGGAGCAACTAGCTGAACTTAGCTTCCCCACACTTGGAGCTGCAGTTACCCAGGGACTGCTAACCTACCAAACTCTCTTCTGCATGACATGCTCATGAGAAATATGTGCTCGTTTGTGTCTGTGTGTTCTTTTTGTCCATGCTGGTGAAGAGAACAGTGTCTGTACCCACGTTTCTGAACTATTGCATTCTTGCATCTCTGCCTGCATTCCCATGTCTGCGGAGCCTGCAGACCTGTCTGTGCCTCTGCATAAGCTAGTATGGGTATGTGTGTGTATGCATGAAGGTGTGTGCATGCAAGTGTGTACTGTGCCAGGGAAGGTGATGTCAAATGCTATTCAGGCCTCTAGAACACTCTCCCTCTTCCTTCCTCTCCTAGCTCTACCTACAGGCTACACAGAATTAGAGGAACAGAGTCTCTCTTCAGGCCTGCTAAAGAAGGTGGTCAGGGATAAACTAATTGGAGCCTCCTAGCTTTTCTCCTCTCTCAACCTTTGTTAGCCTTGGGGTACTCTGTACCTTCTTTCATCAAAAAGTCACAGTCATTTCGAGCTCTTCCTGAGCAGCACCTCCCTATAAATTCATTCCATTTGGCTAAGTGTCCAGTAAGCACAACTGTGGAGTTGCTACCACCTACAGAAAGAGGAAGGAAGTGGGTGGGTGGGTGTATGACTAAGGCAGCGTGTGAATGGGAGAACAAACGGATGGATGGAGCTCGTGGAATAGGAAAGCTCAAGACAGGTGACAGACAGAATGATTCCCAGCAGGAGATCTCCCAGCGACTACTCTGAAGCTCCTGTGGCTCAGACACCTCCAGAAGCCTGGGGCTTCCCAGGGATGGGCCTGACAGAGCCACTTCCAGTCCCCCAAAGTCATGGGATTGCTGTGGTCTTGTTCTTTCAGTTGCATCAACATTCCAGGGAAACAGGAGGAGGCCCAGGGGTAATGGGGACATTCCCTAAGCATGGCTCCAGCTGGAGGTGGGGACACCCACAGCTGTGCATGGCCTGGGGTGGGCAGCTCAATCCAGCTGTATGCATGGCCACAGCTGGCTCCACTCAGCGCTGCTTCGCTTGGCTGGAATGACAGTGCATGAACCTGGTGGGCAGAAGGGTGGTGTGGCACTCTCCCCTGGCTTGTGGAATTAACTTTCTGTGATTCTAAGCCCAGGAGATGCTGTGAGAACTTGGTAAACCTTGAACCCCTAGAACGCTCCAGAAGGTGGTGAGGGAGTGGAGAATGAGGGAACCAGATCCAGGTGACCTCTTGACATCCTTCGCTGTTTTCAGCACGTGGTAATCCTGGTCTAGGCTTGTGGCAGGGTAGATGAATGGTCAGGTCAAAGAGGAGTTGAAAACGCTCCATTGTGTAAATTCTGGTAGGAGAATCCTGATTCGTCCACAGGCACGTGTGAAAGAAAGTCTGGCCTAAGACTCAGCTGTAGCGAGTAAGGGCATTCTGCATTATTCCTCCTGGCCGGCAGACTAACTCTGGGCCCTGCCTTGAGAAAGTATGCATATGGTAGGGGACCAGAAGCCAGCACTTGGCAGAGATCTGAGGGACCCCTGCACGGCAGCCAACCCCACGGTGCACGGCTGGGAGGAGGAGAGAGTTACAGGAGGCAGCTCCTGTGAGGAAAAGGTTTAAGGGCAGCACCATTCCAGAGGGGCACCACCTGCCTTGGAGTGAAGCAGGCTCTTAAGCTGAGCGGGGATGTGCAGAGGCCTTCAGAAAGCATCCCTAAGGTCTCTCAAGGGGCGAACATTACACATGTAAGCTTTAAGCTTAAAGGTTAGAAGGACCTGTTTTTAAAAAGTGTTTGTGAAAGACCCCAGAGCTCCAGGAAAGGCCTAGCTACCTCTAGTGTGGCAGTGGATGGAGCTCTGGCCTGGGAGGACAAGACCTGTGTGCACCTTGTTCCACTGACCCTGTCTTGTCTAGTCAGAGACCTGCCATCTGATCCTCCTCCTTCCCAGTCACCTGGCCAAAGAGGTAAAGGTTCCGTGCAGCTTTCTGTTTTCCTGGTTCTGTGGGAGTCTGCTGCCCCAAGGCTTTGCTTTGCTCTGCGCCATTTCCCTGCCTGTCAGAGTTCAGCAGCTTGTGTCCCTCCCCAGGGCTGAACGAGTGTCTGCACAATAATGGCGGCTGTTCCCATATCTGCACTGACCTCAAGATTGGCTTTGAGTGCACATGCCCAACAGGCTTCCAGCTCTTGGACAAGAAGACTTGTGGCGGTGAGCCTTCCCCCATCTGCCCAAGCAGATACAGATCCTCCTGCCGGTTCTGACTTCTGGTCTTTCCCACAGACATTGATGAATGCCAGGACCCAGATGCCTGCAGCCAAATCTGTGTGAATTACAAGGGCTACTTTAAGTGTGAATGCCACCCTGGCTATGAGATGGATGCACTGACCAAGAACTGCAAAGCTGTAGGTACGGACTTCCAAAGGAAGAGGGAACAACTCTGGAGGGTCTATGAAGCACCCTGCCACCTATGTGAGGAGTGGTTAAACACATACTCCCACAGTGCTCAAAATGCAAGTGAACATCACACGTACAATGCACTGAACGCTAACACACACAGGCATGGTTAGAGCCATCCATTGATAGCCTGGGGGACTCCATTTGTACAGCACAATGTGTAGGCACAAGTGTGGACCACACAACTGGCATACACAGCTCATATGAAGTGCGTGACTTGTGTAGATATATATATATTGATCTATTCAGTCAACTGAAGTAATTATTTAATTCTTTATATTAAGTGCAATAGCATCGCTGTAGGCACTAGAGATTCAGTCAGCATAAAACACGCGTTAATGAGTAAGACAGACAAAACATAAGATGGTTAAATAAAACACAGTGTATGGCAGGTGGCAAGTAAGGGCTAAGGGGAAACAAAGAAGGAAATGATGGAAAAGTCTCGGAGAGTGGTGGATTATGGTTTTAAACAATAGTCAGGGAAGCCCTCACTAAATAAAAAGGGCATTTGCGTGAGGACCTAAAGGAGGCGAAAGGATGAGCCCAGTAGTTAGCTGCAGGAATGGCATTCCAGGCTGAAGGGAAAGAAAGTGCCAAAGCCTGAGGGAAGGAGTGTGACTGAACATTGAAGGAGCAGCCAGGAAGCTGGTGCAGTTGGAAGGAGACTCATGAAAGGTAAAGTCAGAGGTGACAGGGCATTCTCCAAAGCCTTCCAGATGGTTGTAAAGACTCCTGAGTCTGAGGGAAGCCCTCAGAGGGTTCTGAGTGGAAGGGAAATGTAACGTGGAAACTCCTCTGGCTTCATTGCTGAGAACAGCCTGCAGAAGGCCAGAGAAAAGCCACATGTTACCGCAGTGCTCCAGGAGGAAGGCGTGGAGCAGGATGGCTGCTGCGGGAATATTGAGAAAGGAACAGATGTGTGTATATTTTGAAGGCCAGCTAGCTGGATTTGCTTATAAATTACAGTGGGATGTTAGAGAAAAATGAGCCAGAAGATTGCAGGGACAAATAACTTAAAAACAAAAAATGAATTGCTATTTCAGCATATGAGAAAGGGTGAAAGGCAGGTTTGGAAAGAATGTAGACTGCATTGGACATGTGGAGTGTAAGGAAACTGTAGCTCTCCACATGGACGCATTACGCAGACAGTTCAGTAGAAGTCTGGAGTTTCACATAAATACTTAATAGAACACATAAATTATAACACAGCTACAATCCTTGACATCAGATCCATAAATCCTAAAATATACCACCCACATCATAATACATCACATGTAATCTGTCTTGTCTTCTATATGGGACATGATGAATAATGTGGTCCATATAAGTACAGTAGAAATAGCATACTAGATATACATACCAGATCCATACATGTGAATAGCTAGGGTGCAATTATATTTTTAAAAAAATGCTCAGATCATAAACACACAGGTCCCTATTGCTGACACAGTTCTCATCACAATTCACAAGCCGCCCTCTAACCCAGCTGGTCACTTCAGAGAGGTAAAGTCATGACTGTTACTTGGAGCGAGAGAAGTTCTGGTTCACTGGGGACAGAGCAGGCCTAGAACTTAGCTTTCCATCTGGTACTTCCTGTACTTTCAGCCCCATTTTCCCTGCCGACTGTATCACCACTTTCCTTGTACCCTTCCGCCTTGAAATAGTTTCCATCCTCACACTGTGTATTTGTGTGTACACGATACAGCCTCAGCCACATGGCTCTATACTGGGCCCATCCTGTCCCCATAAGCCTGGCACAAATGCACAGGACAGGGACCAGGTGGCTGACAGAAATGTGTACCGGGAAACATGACAACCGTTCCTGAGAATTGCCTGATACATCTCAAAACCAGCTGAGGTGGGCAGTGCAAGGTCCTTGAAGACCTCTGGGACAGCAACCTTCCAGGTGGAAGTCACGAATATCTAGGTCCCACATGATCTTCTAAGTCTTAACTCTAGAATCTAAAAATAGGTTTGATATATACATGACCAGTTATGTGTTCTGTACAATGCATGTGTGTGATCTTGTCAGATGCCACATATCCTGTCTCTGTAGATGGCTCAACAAACTTAACCCAGCCCGCTGGGCTATCTTTCTAGGACCTTTATTTTATTTTATTTGCTCAGGTGGGTCATTCTTGCAGGATGACAAGCGGAGCCCCAAGCAGAAACAGTAGTGATTGCTGCAAAGAAACACACTCTGGAACAAGGGAAAGACTTGAAAAGGGCCTGGGGCAGTGAAAGGGCTGGGGAAAAGCAGAATGCGGGTAGTTTAGCTGGAATCTAGAATGGGAGAAAAGCTAATAAGCTAGACAGACTGTGGGGCTATACTGCAAAAGGCCTCTGTGCAGGCCTGAGGACATTAGGAGTCATGGACTTGGGAGTTTGTATCTAATGGAGAAGAGGGCTTCTGCTGTGTGTTGGTACTCATTATTTCATCTGCCCTTCTAGCCTGTGAGGTAGGACCATCATCCCTACTTCATAGGAAAACGAGGCCTCATCCAGCAAACTAGTGGCAGAAACTTGGTCTCTATGGACTCCCTGCTTCCTCCATTGACACTGCTTCCTTGCATGGCAGTTGGCAAGAGCCCATCCCTAATCTTCACCAACCGACATGAGGTACGAAGAATAGACCTGGTGAAGCGGGACTACTCGCGTCTCATCCCCATGCTCAAGAATGTCGTGTCACTGGACGTGGAAGTAGCTACCAATCGAATATACTGGTGTGACCTTTCCTACCGCAAGATCTACAGGTAAGTGGCATGCCCCCTGCAGCTAAGCCATAAGAGACTTGAGGGAGGGGCTGTTTACACAGAAGAGGAAGCATGGCCTCTGCCTCTCAAGACAGAGTTGGCCTTGAGAAGGGATACAGAATCACAGTGGCAGTAGAAGTACCAGGACTTTGAGCCCACATCCTAGACTGTGTCTGACCCCTGGTGGCCTAACAGTGAAGTACAGAGGAAAAGGGAAAATGCTCTCCATGGAGAACTACAAATCTGGCTTAGATCTATATTGTGGACCCCGGGGATTCAAGATGACTAAGATCTGATCTCTGCTGGGAGGATCCCACATATAACTAGCGAGCCACCTTTTTGCAGTCATGAGACGAAAGTAGAAAAAAAACCTTTGACCCAATTTGGTAGCTGGGAAAACTTCCTGGGTGATAGTACCTCATTTGTCACTGGGGTACTCCGATCACTGGCTGTGACTTCAGGAGTGGGCTCTGGCACTTAGGAAAAATCATTGGACACTTGAGAAAGTTCTCTCTTAGATCTGTCTCAGATTCCGTATCTCTTTGCATATCTGGGCCCCTTTGGACAATTTATGCCCCCTTTTTTAACTTTTGAGATCTACTTGGCAGGACTGATAATAACCAGGCATTGGGTAGACACTGAGTCATCGAAGAAGGATAGGATGGGTGGGTGGGTGAGTAGATGAGAAGACAGAAACAAACTGCCAAGTGTAACGAACTGACAGCTAGATTCCTGCCTCCCACAGCACACATACACAGACTGAGTTCATGCCTTACACACAGAGAAGCAGCTAGAGCCTAGCCAACAAATGTGACTGGCAAGCAGGATTTGATGAGAGACTGGGTCTGGGGCTGAATGAGGCATTACTCAGACTAACTCACGAGCTCATCTGGGGAGTCTCAGGAATCTGGCTTGGGGTTTTTATCAGCTGTGCTGCTCTTTTATTGGGGGCATACAGGAGATCAGAGATTGGGGGTTGGACAGTCTGAGGAGGAACAGGAATGGGGGTGAGCAGTTTGGAACGCATTGAGTAAAGGTGTCTATGGGCCATCTAAGAGTGCTTTTCGGTCTGACTTGAAGAGAATGTCAGAATTATGGATGGCAGTGGACAGATGGCAGTGATAACATGGAGAGAAATGATGGGGGTGACGGAGGGAACGACGACCTGTAGGCACAGCATTTGGGAAGCAAAGTGCTGCTACTGGTGCCCCTGTGCATTTGTGCAGTCAGTTCTCTCTGCACCACACAACTTCCTGCAGATCCTCTTTATCTCACCTCTGCATGTCATAACCCCCCCATCTCTTTCCCTTCCTTCATTCCTTTCCTTTCAAACCTGTCCATTCCACAGGTGCCACAGTGAGCTGACATTCCTAGCTATGTCCTTCAACTCATTCAGTTACCTGTCTCACTCTTGCTCCAGTATAAAATCTAATTAGCAGTACACTCAGCTATGAGAATGTGATTCTTGCCTGCACTTACTTCCACTTTTACATCCCATAAGCCAGCTTCACCACACCAAACACTGCATCATTCCAGAACATGCTTGCTTCTATACTTGTATACACTGGTCCCTTTGTGTCCTGCTTCATCTTTTGTGCCCCTGGTAATCTAGTCCTTCAGAACTCAACCACAGGCTTCTCCCACTCTGCAGGAAGATGCAGTCTCCATTTCCCCACTGCTGTAGCTTCCACACTGCATTGCATCTGCCTGCATGCTTCTTCCCCCATTAACTGAGCTCCACCAGGCCAGAAACTAGCTGGTTCGGCCTGTGCCCTTTCCCGGTGGCTCAAAGAGTGTGTTGAGTAGAGCTTAGCCAGGTTCCTCTAAAACCCACTGCATGGCACAGAGAGAAGACAAAATGGGGAGGGTTGCAAAGGCAGCTCCACATGGGCCCATGGGTGGAGCATCTGCCCATGGCCAGCCCTGCTTTCTCCTAAGCGCCCCCATGGACAAGGCCAGTATCCCGGACGAGCAGGTGGTCCTCATTGATGAGCAGCTGCACTCTCCAGAGGGCTTGGCGGTGGACTGGGTCCATAAGCACATCTACTGGACAGACTCAGGAAACAAGACCATCTCAGTGGCCACCCTTGATGGCCGCCGCCGATGCACCCTCTTCAGTCGTGAACTCAGTGAGCCCCGAGCCATCGCCGTTGACCCCCTGCGAGGGTGAGTATCCTCACTAAGACTTTCCATTTCACCAGCATACGTATTGTTCTCATGTGTCTAAGAACTGTCAAGGGCTCAAGAAGCCTGTCAGAGACACAGGGAAAGAAGTCCAAATGGCCCTCATCCCACTTGTCTCCAGCTCAGGCATTGGCCATTAGTCACCAGACGGCTCCCTAGACTCTTGGCTTATTCACTGAAATGGCACATCCTGGAGCACTACAGGTCTAGAGATTCTTGAGAGTAGCTCCTGGGGTAGAGGCCCTGCAGGCTTTTGTTGGTGGGTATCTGGCAGCTGCTTAACCTTCTTCAGGAACAGAAAACTTATTACTCTTCATGAAGTCTATTTCATTGTGAGATACCACCTACCCATTATACAGTGGGATTTTCCCTCAAAAATCCCGAATCTGTCTCCCTATGGCAGAGTTACATAACCATGCATTCAGCACAATCAGTGTGATTTAAGACTAAAGTCACTGGGGTTGATCTGTTCCTAACTTCTCACCTCTCCCCACCCTTGTTGCTCAATATGTGGGCTCCTTACCACCTAGGCTGCTTTATTCTGGCCACACCTGGGTGGGGGCTTAGGAATCCTGAGCAAAACAATACTTGTTCCTTCCCCAGTGGAAGTGTTCCTTGTCCTTGTCCTTGGTTGCTAAGAAGGAAGAAGAAACCCTCTTAAATTGAGGTCAGCTACTGAAAGCAGTCTCATGAAAGGGTGAATCTGTACCAGTGGGCTGCTATGGTCTCTAGTAGGAACAAGGGTCTAAGAGCAGGGACCTGAGTTAGGATGGTCGTTTACTCTCTTCTCTGTAAATCAGGAGAGGTTTGCAGGGACCCTGCCCACACAGGTGCTCCAGAGCTGGGCATACAGGCTATGCAGCTGAGACTGGGTAGATTAGAGGTGAGCCGAGCTTCCCCAGGCTCTCACGAGATGAAGATTAAAGTGCCTGTTAGTTCTAACAGAGATAGTTCCAAAGGATTTCGGAGGTTTCCCATTAAATATAACCCCCAACTCTTCAGTGGATCACCTATCCTTTGTGACTCAGACCACCCCAACTGTCCCAAACAAGAAGCTAAATGTGGGCTCTTCTATCTTTCAGGTTCATGTACTGGTCTGACTGGGGATTCCAAGCAAAGATTGAGAAATCTGGGCTCAACGGTGCATACCGGCAAACACTGGTTTCAGACAATATTGAATGGCCCAATGGAATCACCCTGGGTGAGCCCTGCCTAGCTACCTGAGTTGGGAGCCTGTACTAGAACTGATCCTGACAACTGATAGGGGTCCCATGAGTCTTCTTTCTGTCCCAACATGGAGGCCAGGTGTCTTTGTTCCCTCAGGCTAAGTTCAGTGTGAGGGCTGGGAATGTGGGTAGAGAAGAGTTCAGTGGGGCAGAGATGCAGCTGTAGTAACTGGTGTCTGACCTGATCCCTCCTCCCCAAGACTTGCTGAGCCAGCGTTTGTACTGGGTGGACTCCAAGCTGCACCAGCTGTCCAGCATTGACTTCAATGGAGGCAACAGAAAGATGCTGATTTTCTCCCCTGACTTCCTGAGTCACCCTTTTGGGATAGCTGTATTTGAGGTGAGCCCTAAGAGGGTGGGTATGACCCTGCTGGGAATATGAAACCTAGAAAAGGCTTGTTCAAATAGGATGCTTCCCTGAGATTTGTCCAAAGGGAAACAAAAGAACAGGGAAGCCAACTGACACATTTGTATATATTCTGAGAGCCACCTACACAGAGGCTCTGCAGCCAACCCTGCCTGGCAGTCTTTCCTGTGTTCTCTCTCCCCAAGAGCCTCGTTCAGAGAATGTCACAGGTAAATTATTCAGTACAGATGCTTCTTCTCCACGTCCTTAGCACCTAGCACTATATCTCCTATGAAGAAGGCTCCTAACAAAAGGAGGAAGGGGAAAGGAATATGTGTTTCCTTAGAATCATTTCATATAGGTCACGTCCTGACAGATCTATGCAGGTCAGCTCATTTCTGTGCTGACCTTTGCTGAATCATGGGGTTATAGAAGTAAATCAGACACTATCCAAGCTCTCAAGAAGAGAGGATCAAGAAGCCCATCTGCCCTAACCCTGACTTCCTTTCTTCTTGGGAAATAAGGAAGCCAGAACCTACCAGAATTTCTTACACTCTTCCAGCTCTTCCCAAAAACTAACCCTGCCATCGAGGGAAGGCAGAGTTGGGAGGCAATGGCAGTATTTTCTTCGAGCAGCTCCATTCTGTACTGCTTGAACTCGTGGGCAAAGTATCTCCTCCAAATGCAGCCCCTGCTTCAGTTCAAGTGTACTGGACATGCATGTGTATAAAGAATGTGTATGTGCATGTATCTGCATAAATACACCAAAGTAAAAGTGTATGTTCCTGTGTGTGTAGTTTTATGTGTATGCACACCAATAGAGGAACTTCATGAGTATGTCTTTGTGAGGACAGATAGACCCGTGGGGTGTATCTGGATCTATGGACAAGATGCATGGTTGCACCTATAATTGTGAATTTGCCTACAGATGCATATCCAAGCGTCTATGGACTAACCATATAAACTTGTGTGTATCCTCCCAGAAGGCTCAATAGCAGCTGGCCCTCAGGAACTTACGCATTCCTTCTGATCTTAATTCCAAGCCACAGGAATGGTACTAGCTATAGAGATCCAACCTTGGCTTTCTTTTGACTCCAGGAAGTAAGCCTAGCTCAGCTATAGGTAGCTATAGGTAGGTTTGGTCCTCTGGTCAAATATCCTCTAAGATAGAAGGAAGCTAGGTGAGTTTGTGTAATCATCAGAGGCAGAGTCCTCTGAGAACCTGTGGGCAGGGTAGGTCTCTCTGGGAAGCTGTCAGGTCAGTTCTTCCCATCACTGATTTGGGGCTAGGTCCTAAGACTGGGATCATGAGTTAGGATCCTGGGCTCCCCACCCTTTACATCTGTATTCCACAGGACAGGGTATTCTGGACAGATCTGGAGAATGAGGCCATTTTCAGTGCAAACCGGCTCAATGGCTTAGAAATCTCCATCCTGGCTGAGAACCTCAATAACCCACATGACATTGTAATCTCCCATGAGCTGAAGCAGCCAACAGGTAAGTCTTCCCTGGCCCTTGGGTGCCTTGCCTGTGTCCTCTCCTGCCACTTGGCAGGCTGCTTCCTCCTGTTCATGCCATGACCCAGCCTCTCCAGGAATACAATAATTCCTCTTGTAAAGCATTTTGCCTCATTTTGCTTCAGCTTCTGTGTGAAGCAAGGCTAGGAAGAAATGAACACATAAGTTTCCTAGTTTTGCTAATGCTATAACAGGTGCTTATTATTTTTCCTCATTCAATTATTGAAGAAACTGAAGCTTAGAGAAATAAAACAATGTTAGCAGGTAGAAGAACAAAAATGTACACTCAGATCACCTAATTGCAAAGTTCCTTCTGTTGGGACATATAGCTTCTTGTTACTTCTCGCACCCATTTTTCAGCAATATAAAATAATGTGTCTTGAGGCCTTACAGCAAGGCAGGTGGCTCACTGGGAACAGATGTAGTCATCTTACTGCTAGGTTGTCTCCTCCTCAATCACTACTAACTGGAACAGGTACTGGCTGCCGGGGTGAGAAGGACAGCAAAGAAGAGCAAGGAAATAACTGTGGTGCCTGATTCTAGTTCTAGGAATTTAAAGAAGAAAGATATGACATGAAACTTAAAGGAGTAAAAATCAAGACAAAAACAGTAAGGGTGGGGTGGCTTTAGTTTGGGAATCAGTATACCGCAACTTAAAGTCTGCCTCCCAAATTCCTTGAGTTGTAATTTGTACATTTGTTCTCTGAGCATGGGCTCATCTGTCAGAACTGTAAGAACTGAATGAGAGTAGGAATAAAGTACCAAGTACCGTGCTGGTGGGTGCCCATATAAAAGGAGAGAGCAAGTCCAGTGGTGGGATCTCATTATTGGAAGACAAGAGGACCTGGCATGGCCTGTCAGTGTCCCAACATTTTGTCTATCTGCCCCTCCCCTGCCATCAGCTGCAGATGCCTGTGAACTGAGCGCCCAGCCCAACGGCGGGTGTGAATACCTGTGCCTTCCTGCTCCTCAGATCTCCAGCCACTCCCCCAAGTACACATGTGCCTGTCCTGACACAATGTGGCTGGGCCCAGACATGAAGAGATGCTACCGAGGTTAGTGACAGACATTGCCCTTGGCTTCTAGGACACAGTGTGCTCCTGGTTCTCCTCTGTCTGCCCTGTCTGCTTGTCACATTTGCATATTCCTCTTTTTTAAACTTCCTTGAATGCATGAGTCCCTGGGAGTCTTCTAAGGTTCTCCCATCTCCCAGAAAAATGCACATATACATAAAGTATTTTAAATTCAACTTTCAGGAAGTTTCTGGAATCCCTTGAAAACATCAAGTTAATGAGGCTGGAGATGGCTCAGTGGTTGTGAACACTTGTTGCTCTTGCAGAGGACCGTGGTTCAGTTCCTAACATCCATATGGTGGCTCATGTCCATCCTTAACTCCAGTTTCAGGGGATCCAATCCTGATGCCTTCTTCTGGCCTCTTAGGGCACCAGGCAAGCACATGGTGCACAAGCAAAATACCCATAAATATAAACTAAAGAAAACCTTGAGTTAAGAGCCTTCCATCTCCCCATCTCCACTGACTGTTTCTAAGCTAGACCAGCACATTGCACAGAAGCCCTTGTAACTAATGATGGGATACCACTTCATCCTCATAAACAGGGTTGATTTCCCATCTGCATGTACAGCCAAGGCCTTTGGCTTGAACATTAAGTCTGTTGCATCATTTATAATGTTCAGGTTTAATTGTTTAATGCGAAGAATTAACACTAATGATATAATTATATATTAGATAAAATACTTGTAGAGTTGTATGATTTCTGCTCCCTCTAGTCTTTTGCAGAGGCCTCTTCCACACTTACTTCTGCAGCACTGTTTCACTGACTCATCAAATCAAAGTGAAGTGCTAGGATTCAGGATTCAGCTAAAGAGAAGATCATGGCCCATTCAGGGGGATGAGGGAAAGTTTCACAGAAGTGGTATCTGAGCTAAACCCAGAGGATGAGTCCCTCCATGTAATGCACAGCAGCAATAATTTAGGCACTAAAGCAACGAACTGCTCTGACTAAGTAATCTCCCTGGTCTTTCCCCTCCAGCACCTCAGACTACCTCAACTACAACGTTAGCCTCTGCCATGACAAGGACAGTACCCACCACTACCAGAGCACCTGGGACAACCATCCAAGACCCTACCTACCAGAACCACAGTACGGAGACACCAAGCCGGACAGCTGCTGTCCCAAACTCAGTTAGTGTTCCCAAGGCTCCCAGCATCAGCCTATCTACCCTAAGCCCTGCAACCAGCAACCACTCCCAGCACTGTAAGGAAATCACCTCTCCATTTTTTCATGACTTGGGGGAGTCCTATGGAAGCCAAGATGAAGATTGGGGGTGGCTGGGAAGGGAGATCTTACCAGAACTAAGTAATGTCCGCCTCTTAGGAGGAAGCAATGACGAGAAAGGGCTATTCTGGGACTGAGGAAACTTGGGTATCCATAACTTTTCAAGGGCCTGGAGGCAGACTATTAATTCCATCTCTGAGCCTCAGAGTCTCCCCCTAAAAGGAGCAAATAATAAGCTACCCTCCACTCGCTTCTCAAGATGGTCAGGAAAGGCAAAGGAGCCTGGTATGGTAGTGCGTATCTTTAATTTTAGCACACAGGAGGCAGAGGCAGATACATCTCTATGAGTTTTAGGCCAGCCTGTTCTACATAGAGAGTTGCAGGCCAGCCAAGGCAACATGGTAAGACCCAGCCTCAAGAGGGGGTGGGGCAAAAGAGGCATTACCAATGGAAGTGCCTGCTGGCTAGGTGTATGTCAGTTTTGTGAGTTCCTGAGGTGAGAGTCATCAAGTTTGGAAAGCTCTAATCTGAGTTCCCAGTAGTCGTGGTGAGCTGCCCAGACAGTAACATCCATAACTATGATCTGTTTGTGCCTGTTTCCAAGCCCTGGATAAAATAATTAAGCTCACCACTCCTTAAATCATTGGAAGCAGTTGTTGTCTCTGTTGGAACTGCTCTATCTCATTAACCAGAAAATACCTAATTTCTAAGGGGAGTTCATTTTAACGGCTAAAACATCCCTCACATTTTTTTTTCCATACATGCTGGCCCAGAAACCAGGCAACCTGGTTGTGGTATGTTTTGCCAGCAGAAGCTGGATTCTTAAGAATAGAGTACTCACCCTGGAGTTTGCAGAGGAGATGGAATTCCATTTCCTCTCATCTAGGGCAGAGCTCTAAGCAGTCCTCATAGGCCCCAGGAAGTTCTAGCACATCACAGGGCTTCTTCCCACCCCACCCGTGTGTGCATGTGTGGTACATGTAGAGGCCGTAGGTCAACCTCCAGAGTCTTCTCAGTAGTTCTCCATCTTCATTCTTGAGGCAGTCAACCTGGAGCTCACTGGCTGAGCTAAACTGGCTGGCAGCAAGCTTCAGGTTTCCTCCCGTCTCTGCCTTCTCAGTGCTGGCACTGTGGGCACACGCTGCTGTGCCTGGCTTTCCACGTACTGGGGAGCAGAATCCAGATCTTCATTCTCATATAGCAAGCACCTATCAAGTGCAGCCCCTCCACTTAGTGTGCCAGCAGCACAGCTCTCTGATCAGTCAGATTTGCCAGAGGTGACTTGGAGAAAGAGATTGAGGGGATGAGTTTGGAAACATTGCCAGGAAGCACTCACACCTGATGTGGAGCAAATGTGGCTAGATGTTCCTCTTCACATCTCAGAGGGCTCTCCTGGGATCCCAGGGCCAGTGCGGTACAGATGTCACAGGGAAGATGGCCGTGAGTTAGCAAAGGAAATGTATTTAAAATACAGTATATTTTCCAAGCACTCTTTGGTTTAAGAATGTGCTTTTATATGCCTTAACAGCAATAACAACAAGAACCCTTTACTGAGAGAGGAGGTCTTACTATGTAGCCCAGGCTAGTCTGAACTTGAGGTCTTCTTTCCTCACCATCCTGGGTGGTGGGTTATATGCATGTACCACCATGCCTGGCTAGCATACCTTATAACAACTCCTACCCTCTCACTACCCTCTTGAATTAGGCAAGGCCAGCTAGATTGTGCTAAGTACCTACATAAATTATCTCATTTAATCCTCACATGTATTATGTATTTTAACATAAAGAAATATAATGCACATATGTGTCTAATATTATATTAACTTTCACAGTGTTACACAGGTAATGAGTAAGAGCCATAGAATCTGCACCCAGGAAGCCTGTGCTTCTGATTACACTCTACTACATTCTAGTGTATCTTATTTTAACCTCTTAGGAAAACAAGCTGGTAATCCATATAACAGGCAGACCACCAAAAAGAGTGGAGATAATATATTGGATTTTGTTTGAAAAAGACAGCTGATCCTGTCAGCAACAAGGAGATCTAAGCAATCACCTGCCACGCACAGCTCCCAGCTTCCTACCATCCTGATGCTATGGAAAGAGTATAGGGCGTGGGGTGTGAGTCCAGAGTTCAAGTCCTACTCTGCATTTATCAAAACTTAGTTTGCCATTGTATAAAATAGAAATAACCTCTGTTGAATTTTCCTCAGGAATTTTGATGAAATTTAGTAAGACTGGATTCTTACATAATAGCTGGGATCATTTTAGAGTGAGAACAAACAGAGGTTGGAGGTTCTTACAGCTTGAGGCTAGTGAGGGCTGAGATTCACAGTGATAGAGCATCATTCTTTAAATGCTGGTGTTTTACAGATGGGAATGAAGGCAGTCAGATGGGATCAACAGTCACTGCTGCTGTCATTGGGATTATCGTGCCCATAGGTGAGTGTGGCCCCAATCAATGGCGGTAAAAGGATTCTTCCCAAGCTTTGGGAAAGCCTTGTCTAATGTGGAGGGATAAAGAATGTTGCGTACTGCCTGGTTCCGTTTGGGTTCTTGCACAGCACACAGTGCTCTCCAGTTTCTGGCCCTATGTGAACATCCAGGTGCATCTCCCTGCCCTTCCTTCACACTCGCACCGTGTGAAGACCTAATGAATACTCCCTGGGACCCAAGCTGGTGTCTCTTGCTCACCACTCTCCCAAGCTCCTAGCAATGGCTGGTACATGACAGGGAATTATATGTCTGCTAACTGATAAGCCAAACTGCTTGCCTTTTCTTTTTTTTTTTTTTTAAAGATTTATTTATTTATTTATTATGTATACAACATTCTGCCTCCATGTATGCCCGCACGCCAGAAGAGGGCGCCAGATCTCAGTACAGATGGTTGTGAGCCACCATGTGGTTGCTGGGAATTGAACTCAGGACCTCTGGAAGAGCAGCCAGTGCTCTTAACCTCTGAGCCATCTCTCCAGCCCATTGATTTTTCTTGAATAAATAATCCTGTCTTGTTTTCTTTCTCTTTGATTTTCAATAAACATTTATCAAACAGCGACGATGTGGCAAACTCTACTAAGGAAAGTCAAAGCAGTGAAAGGACTTGGTCCTGCCCTGTGAGTCAGTGATCTAGCAAGGAGACTCAGTGGGGAAAGCACTTGCCACCAAAGCTTTGACTTCCCGAGTTCTATCCCTGGAAGTCACATGGCGGAAAAAGTCAGTTCCTGTAGTTTGTCCTCTGATCTCCACATACCCTCCCTTGTAGCATGCACTGCCCACCCCACCCCCAAATAAATAAGTGTTATGTTAAAAGCAGCATTCTTATCCAAGGGACACAAATCATTAACAGTAAAGCTGTTAACTGAGTTGGGTGGGAATGCCAAGGAAGCTCTTGGTCTCAAAGGGAAGAGGACAGGCAAAGTTTCCCACTAGAAATAATCCTTGAGCTGGGCTGGCCAAATGAAGAATCAAGAGCAGCCCAAACTACAGACAGCATGAGGAAAGCCAGGAGTGGGCAAGGCATGGAAGAGTTAGGGTTCAATACAGAAGATGGTGGAGAGACTACATTCTAGTTTGTTTTGAGTGACCCTGTTCCTGCCATCTATGTGTGCTTTCTGGTTGCTATAACCCTCCTGAAAGAATCAATATTAAATGTTTACTAATCTGAAGGGCAAAGATGAGTATTATTTCTACAAGAAGGTTTTCATAAGCTTCCTGGCCATTTATTTACATTTTATTCTGTTTAAATTGCCCACTCAGTCTCATTATTTTTGTTATTTTATTTGTAGAAATACATAATAAATATTAAAACATAACGATATATAAACAAATATTTTATCCCAATCTGATAGTTTATTTTAAATTAGCTCATAGTATCTTTTATCATTCATAAATTTTTATATTTTTAAAATGTCAGATCTGTTAATCTTTTGTGAGTTCTGGATTTTCTGTCTTGCTTAGAAAGACCCACTTAATTCTGAATTTTTAAAATGTCTCCTAATATTTTCTTCTTCTAATTTAAATTCTTTTTCAGGGATTGGATATTTATTATTTTAGAATATGGCATGAGGTAGAGATTTAACTCTGTTTTCTTTTCTAATTGATATACCAGTTCTAATTCATGACTATTTTTTAATATATGTGTATAGATTCTCCAAAACCATTCTATTTAGGGATCCATTATTTCCTTCTGACATAGTGATCATCTTTATTGTAAACTCATGCCTATACGTGCTAGCCTGTGTAGTCCCTTCACTTATTATCTGTCTAGTGCCATAGACTAGCAACACATTATGAAATATGATTCTTGTAAACATCTTCTTAAATGCTTTTATCTGGCTTCTCTTCTAGATTATTCTTTAGAATAATTGTGCCATTTTGTAAAATTTATGATAGATTTTCATTGAACATGCTTTGGATATATACATTTATATAAGGATAATTTACATTTTTTCTGTATCAAATTTTCCCATCTAGGACCTGACATCTCTATTTAAGCCTTCGCTTATGTCCTTTAGCAGAACTTGATAGATCATATCACATTTGCTTGCTTCTTGTTAGGTGATTTCAGGTATTTTGCAACTTTTACTGGGCCATTCATTATGAATGTACTTATTATTTCCAAGACTTTTTTTGGTTTTTGTTGTGTTTTGTTTTGTTTGTTTGTGTGTTTGTTTGTTTGAGACAGGGTTTCTCTGTGTAGCCCTGGCTGTCCTGGAATTCACTCTGCAGACCAGGCTGGCCTCAAACTCACTAAGATCCACCTGTCCCTGCCTCCCAAGTGCTGGGATTAAAGGCGTGCGCCACCACTGTACAGCTGTTCCATGACATTTTCTAATTGGTTACTTATTTAGGGAAATTTTGTTTGCTTGTTTGTTTGTGTGGGTAGGTGGGTGGGTTTTTTTTTTTTGACATAGAGTTTCAGAGACTCTGTAAGACAAACTTCCCTGAGCTCACTATGTAGTCCAGACTGTCCTCAAATTCATGATAATTTTCCTGTCTCAGTCTCCTGAGTGCTAGAGTTATAGATGTCAGCTACCACACTTGGCATTCTAATGTGTTGCTGTTTATTAAAAAGAAAACTATTGATTTTTAAATATTGATTCTTGATGAAGTACATTATTTCTAATAGTCTTTTTGCCAGCTTCTCTTAACATTCTAAATTTTCCTCATTGCTATCTTTAATTATAGTATTCTTACTCAAACAGAAACTCCTCTACAGCATCCTAAATAGTTTCCACTGATAAGCTCAGAACCACTACTTACTTTGGTGGGCACAGTCTTGGAAGCTCCCTTCCTGTAGGCCACCCTGGGTTACCTCTGCAGTTCCCACATGGCATTGAGTTCTTGCTCATTCCCATCATCTTGATCTAAGTCTGATTGCACTCCCTCCAGTTCTAGAAGGACCTGTCCCTCAAGCTGGAATCGAGCACGGGTTCCTTCCTAGGCCTTGGCCCTGAACCTATACGATGCCCTTTCCTTTCTTTGTTCTCTATGGTGATGGGACTTGACTTCCCCATCTGTCCAACAAGGACTAAGTGCTTAGTATTTTTACCTAGCTCTAAAGCCTTCATCTCAAACGTATGTTGTCCTTCTTTATCCCCTTCTAGAGACACTCTTCATCTGATGGAGCCTTAGCTTTGGGAAGACATGCAATTTTTGAGGGAGAGTGACTTTCTTAAGAGTTCCAGAGAAGCAGCAGCATAGGGTACAGGTGTAAGCAAATATTTCTCAGCCATTTAGCATGTGTCACTGAGAACCGTCTCAGTGCTAGACATGGTACAGAGAGAGAAAAAAAAAAGCACAGCCTAGGCTGGAGAGATGGCTCCGTGTTAGGAGTGCTTACTGCTCTTGTGAAAGAATGGAGTTTATTTCCTACCATCCATGTCATAGAGCTCACAACCAACTGTAACACCAATTCCAGGAGATCAGAAGTCTTTTCCTGGTCTTCACAGTTACCTGCACACACGTGTGCACATGTATACACTCTCACAGACACACATACATACACAGAAATAAAATGATTTTAAAAATAAGTTTTTTTTTAAAGTTAGCCCAGCCCTCAAAGGCTCATTCCAGTTGGGAGAACAGATGTTTAAAAATAAGAACACACCTAAGGGAACAGCAGAGTCTTTCCAGAGAGCAGTTGGGAAAGACTTCATTTGAGCTGGATCTCAAAAGACGAAGAATTAATAAAGGAAAACATTGGTTCTCGAGAGGACTTTCAAGCAGGAGAAAATGAGCATAAAGAAACAGTGCTGGGGAGCAAAGGACAGCAAAGTTGGATAGGTGGCAAAATCTGTTTTGATGCTGGGCCAGAGATCCCAGTTGTTTAATGTGATGTATCCTTCCTTCCAGTGGTGATAGCCCTGCTGTGTACAAGTGGGTATCTGATCTGGAGAAACTGGAAGCGGAAGAACACCAAGAGCATGAACTTTGACAACCCAGTATACAGGAAGACAACAGAAGAAGAAGATGAAGACGAGCTTCATATAGGGAGGACTGCTCAGATTGGCCATGTCTATCCTGCAGTAAGTATTCCTCAGTAGGAGAGCTCCTTCCCTCCCTTCTGTCCTCTCACCCTATCCTTCCCTCCTTGCCTGCCTGCTTGCCTGCCGCCTTCCTTCCTTTAACCTTATCAAGAACCTGCCACATATCAGCACCATTCTGGCTCTGGGAGAACACAGACATACTAAAGCAGGTGATGGGGGTATGAGAATATCAGGACCACCATTTACCTAGAGGCTCTTCATGGCAGTTAAGATGCCAAATATCTTTCTGCAGAAGGGTAACTGGCTATTTAATCTATACATATATGAATTCCAACAAACTCTGAATGCCAGCTAAATACCAAACACCACATTAGATATCAAATATTCAGAATTAATAAAGAACTGCATTACTTCTCAAGTAGCTAGTGGGAGAGTTAGAGATGCTAAGTGTCATGAGTGAAACTTGAAAAATCTACCCTTCTAGGAAGCCTTACTAGGCTTGCTTTTTTTCCTACACTCTCCTGGCTGGGCCTCTCCATCCACAATCCACCTATCTTTTGCTTAGTGGTTAACCTAGACCCTGAGGTCTCTGAGGGCAGGTCTAATGTGGTCAGTCTGTTTTCCTGAGCTTAGCATAGCCCTGATGGCTTTTTAACAAATACTGAATGAATGGATGGTATGGAAGCACAGACAGGGAGCTGCTAATTCTGTCTGGGGAACAGGGATACATAATGACTCACAGCAACAGATGAACTATCTTTAAAAATAGTAGTTTTTGGTAAGGAAGAATGGAAATGACATTCCAGACAGAAATATGTACAAAGGCTGAGAGGCACAAAAGAGCATGGCCTGTTGGGGAACAAGGATTATGGAGTGGTTAGAACAGGTGTCATTGTTATACAGCAGAGTCAGGGGGCTGAGTATGACCTCAAAGGTCATCCAGTCCATCCCCCTGTCAGGCAATCAGCAGCTTTGATCGCCCACTGTGGGCAGAGCCCTGTCTTGGGGAGACCAGAGACCTGGAAGACCCAGCCCCTGCCCTCAAGGAGCTTTTTGTCTTGCCGGGGGAACCAAGGTCACAGCTGCACCAACTCCCGAAGAACCCTCTTTCCGAGCTGCCTGTCGTCAAGTCCAAGGTAGGGCAGTGCCACTCTGAGCCTGAGGGGCTGGTGAGTGAGGGCCTTAAACCTAGGCAGACAGCAAATCCTGGAAGGCTTTTTGGTTTTGAAAGGTTACAGCTGTAAGCTTGATATGGGGGCAGAGGAAGAATGGGCTTGCCATAGACAGAAGAAATGGCATGTGGAATGTACTGAATGTGTGGTAGACAAACTGCTGTTGGAGCAAACTGTAAAGGAGGGATGTATGAAACAGAGTTGATCGGTGCTGTGAGGGTTAACAGGTGACCTTAAGGCTCCATAACTGAGAACAGTGCAGACAAGCAGGTTTTTAGAGCTCGGAGAAGGCACAGAGACGATGACTCTCAGTCCCACTGTGTCATAGCCCTGGGTCTTGTCTACTTACCTTTCCTAGTGTAATGAGAGGGACAAGCCACTCTCTCTGCCTCCTGAGACTATAAAGTTAAAAGCACTTTGCAAATTACAATCAACCTACACTAAATTGCCAGTCACAAAGAAACAGAGAAATGTAGTAAGCAAAGTGGGATTGAGCAAGCATCTCCTATGTGTCACACACTGCTCTCAGTGTTTCACACGTCTTTTTCTCATTTAATCTTCAGTTACCTTTTTTGCAGTTGAGAAAACTGAGAAACATAGAATTTTAATAACTTCCCTGAGATCATGGTCAGAAAGTGGCAGAACCAAGATTAAATTCCAGGCAGTGTGCACAGAGGCCCATGTTCTTTCCACTCTGTCACTGGTTACATGTCCTTGAAGCTCTGAAAATAAGAATTCTCCAACACCTGTCTTCTTCTGCCCTTTTCTCCTATATCTCTGCCATCACTACCAGGGCTGCCTTTGGCCGAGAGATAAGGTGGGCAAGAATAAAGAGGGCGGCTTGACAATATCACTGTTAGTTAAAGCATGACCAAGTATGCATGGAGAAATTAAATAGAACCAAAAATTAACTTGAAAGGCAATGGGGTTTCTTTTTTTTTCTTTTCTTCATATGTGGCATATTCAAAAATAGAAAATGCTTATTTTACGCTGGTAGGTTTGACTAGACTACTTCAGATGTCATACTTGCTAGGTAGCATGTAAAAACCCTAAAAATGTTATCTCATCTGGTTTCTCACCAACCCTGTGAAGTAGATTCTAACCTCACTAACAGTTGTTAATGAAACTAAGGCTTAGATAAGTGAAGGAAGGCAATCCCCAAATAGCTTGAGAAAAGCAACGAAACTGGGATCTATCCAAGGAGGTGCCCAGGAAATGGGAAAAGTGGCAGTCAAGGCTCTGTGAGCATGATACAGAATGTTAGATGTGTGTCCTACAAAGAAAGCAGAAAGAGAGAAAAGGGATTCACTTACTTAAAAATAAGTTTAGGAACTTTCCTGTCCAGAACTCTGAGACTAATACAGAACTGTGTGATCATTAGGAGATATAAATCAACAGCTTTTACATCAGTATAGGAAAGAATTTTAACCCCGAAGAGAACAGAGCCATTGGTCAGAGCCATTTAAGGCAGAAGAGAACTGAACATCCAATAACTGGAAACAAGGACTGGGAACTAGATATCATTACTTATATTGCTTTCCAATGTTCTTTTATCACGTAAGAGGGGTGCAACATGGTACCCACTTCATTGTGATTTGTAATTTGGAGACAGGTGGCTAACTGACCATGATTTAACATTTGACAGTTAACCCTCTTAAGTTCACCCAATTTAAAATACTATAAGGAACCTAAGTTTAAATCTTTGCTGCCCTTCTTTCTGGAAGGAGAGAACAAAATGATGGGGGAAAGCTATACTTCTAGAGCTGCACAGACATGCGATCAAACTTTAGCCATTTTCTGTGTGATCCAGAGTGGTATAATTGAGCCTCAGTTTTCTCATCTCTGAAATAAGTATGATAAATCTTGTCATTGGCAGTTGAAAATTATGTGATTTAATCTCTATAAAGTAATACTGTGTCTGATACTTTTGTTGATATTCAGTAAAGATTGCCTCTTATAGATCTAATGATGATTTCTTGCTCTATTTCCCCAGCGAGTGGCATTAAGTCTTGAAGATGATGGACTGCCCTGAGGATGGGACCACCCACTTCGTGCCTCATGGAGTTCAGTCCTATGCACTACTCTCTTTGGATGGATGGTGTGTGACTGGATGAATGCTATTTCTATATATGGGTCTGTGTGAGTGTGTATGAATGTGTGCGTGTAACTTTTTTTAAATTTATGTTGCGAAAAGGTAACCACAAAGTTATGATGAACTGCAGACATCCAAAGGATGTGAAAGTTTTTATATGTATAATGTTTTATACACTTTTTAACTGGTTGCACTACCCATGAGGAATTCATGGGACAGCTACTGCTGAGTGACTAACATGATGTATATAACCAAACGGGGGCCAATGGTACAAACTTTACTCATCATTTGAATACTATATTTACAGAGGATGTTTGATTTGAGGGCTTTTTTAGGTTTGAGGGACTTGGGGTTTTTTTTGTAAATAAAATTATGCTTTGTGGCTATCCATCAACATAAGTATAAAAAGAACACTTCAACTCCCTTCCTCATTTAGATTATTTATTAACATATTTCAAAAGTAAGGTTAGCTCTATAAATAATTTAGAGAAGTGAAAGTATTTATTTTTGGTATGACTGGCCCACTGCACAGACTCTGTGTTTATGTGTGTATGTTTGTATGAGAGGAAGAAAAAATCTGTAGAGAAGAGGCACACTTATGACTGTTGTTCAGATACATAAAACAAAGTTGTTTTAAAACAGTCCACGAGAGGGGTATCTAGTTTTCAGAGACACCGTCAGAAACTTCATTCAGAAAATAGATGCCACAGTTCACACAGACATATGGCGGGAAAGGTAGATCTTTTCACCTCTGGCTACTCCCGAGGCTTTGGTGAGCCAGTAAGAAGCTTTTGAGCTCGTCCATGGCTGCCATGACACCCACCTAGGCTTTCTGATATAGATGCCACTGATACACAGTGCCAGAAGCCCTCATGAGCTCACAATAGCAGAGCTCAGCGAGTCCTCTTAAAGTTCAGCTCTCGGTGGGGACTCGGGCTGACTTTCATCTGAAGCTCCTGAAGGCTGAGCCTCTAGAGCAGCAGTTCTCAACCCATGGGTCACGGCCCCTTTGTGGGTCAAATGGCCCTCTCACAGGGTCACCTAAGACTACTGGAAAACACAGATATTTACATTACGATTCATAACAGTAGCAAAATTACAGGTATGAAGTAACAACAAAAATAATTTTATAGCTGTGGGTCACCACTAAGTGAGGAACTGTATTCAAGGGTCGCAGCATTAGGAAGATTGAGAACCACTGCTCTAGAGCTAAGTGAAGACATTTCTAGGATTCCAAAGTTGACTGTAAGAACTGGCTCAGGCACTGAACCTCTGAGTTGCTGTGGATGAGGACAAAGGTTTTGGAATAGGTTTGATTACATCACTATTTCTCCATCCCCTTACTTTCTACCATTTTCTTAAGTAGGGGAAATATTTTAAAATAATAAACATGTTTCTTACCGTCAAATGTTCACATGGATAAAACTAAGTCCAAAAATGTGACCACATCCAAAGTTATATTTGGGGGGAGGAAATACCATGGGAGATATTATAGCATATTCGGCATGTGTCCACACAAGGATTTGTTTTACTGCTTTATAAATAAAAGGAAAACTCTGGGTATTTATATAGATCTTTCTTCATTGTGAACACCACCTTTACTTTTTCTGAGCCTTGGGGATGGGGTGGAGAGAAATGCCATTTTCTGTCTGTGGGATCCACTGTTGAAAACATAAGCCCATAATCCCAAAAGGAATTCAGTCCCCACTAGCTCTCTCTTCCAAAGTATGGTCTTTCCGTGATTCTGCTGTTCTGCCAGTTCACTCCAGCTAAATGACCAGGGCAAGTGCAACATGGAAGTATGGCTTAGGTGGGAGCAGAGGATATGTATCCACCCTTGACATGCCTGGAACTTGACAGTTAAAATGTCTCCTGTTCTCACCCTCCGGCTTGAATGTCTCACGAACTTGACAGCCTCTGAATTTCAGGCAGATCATCTGAAGTTCTGCCATCCTGTTCCTAGGAGCTTACTTTATGTCACTTGTATGTTTTTTAACCTTTAAAAAAAAAAGTTGCTGTGTTCTAAGTATGGCTGTTATGTCTGACGACATCTTTCTGGTATACACGTGTTGATGGTCCTGAGACAGTCATTGGATAAATGCAGCTGACCTCGGACCCATTGCAAACAGTCTCACAAGCAGGTGGCCAACTCCTATGGAGCTTACTCATTATATTCATTCAAGGACGGAAAGGAAAGTCAATTTTAACTGAAGAAAAATGGTGAAAGTGAAAGCATCAAAATTTTACATAAAACAAGCAGTTCTTTTAAAAATCTGCTTCCAAAAGAACTGAAGTAACTAACAGTAGTTAATACATAGTTTCCTAATTTTCAGTCAGACCCTTGACTTCAAAATAAGGTTGAAACACACCGACTAGGATTTCCAAACGATGATTAAATTCACAACTCATAAATACCATCTTCCCTGAATATGCTTCAACCACAGTCTGAAAGCAGAGGCTATAGATGCAACCTACAACAAACAGACAAGTACATGGACAGCAGCAGATCAGCAGCAGTCTGAGGAGATCCACTTCCTCCTATCATTGAAGACTTTGAGCCCCATTCTGAGGTATTTTTCAAATTCTATGTTGCCTTTTGCCACTGTGCATCTGTGGCCACAGACAGTAACAGCCAGAAGGATGCTCAGTGATGAATCACTCAACAAACCAGGCCAGTCCTTTTGTTCTCCCTTCTCCAAAGACAACTCTGGGCTGCCTGAAACAAGCTATCAAACCTGCTCCCTCTCCCATGACTATCTGTCCAATGGATTGAGACAGGCCTACCAGAAATGGCCTTTCTGAAACAAGAAACTAAAACTTGGTTTACTCTTCAGAATGTGTGTGTATGTACACACAGAGAGACTGAAATGGCTTCTGACTTCAAGGAGTAAAAATGATGAGATGGGATTTAAACTGATGGCAGTTAATACTGTTGAGCCCTTCAGTTATTCTCATGTGTTCACAACATACTTACTCTCTAAACTACCTGCTAGGTGCTATGTGTGTGCTAGGCATTGCAAACATCAAAGGTCAATTAAAATGTCTTTCACCCTTTCAGAGCTCACTGCAGTGGAAGATACATATGGATACAAAAAAAAAAAAAAGTAGACTTCACTTAGAATACTGCCAGGGCATAACAAAAAAGATGCGTCATTTTGCCTGAAAAGATGAAAAACCAGGTCTTCACAGAAGCGGCCCAAAGCCAAGTCTTAACTAAAGAGCAGTGTTGAGGCTGCTTCTGGTCGCAGAAACAGAGCTGAGACTGAGGCAGGGGTCCGCAGCCGGGCTTTAGGGACAGCTTGTGGTCCATTATACCTGGACTACGGAGCTCAAGGAGAGGTGACGAGAAGTGGAACTGCTTGGAAAGACAAGTTCAGCATGAGCACTTTATAAAGTAACTCTGATTTAATGAAGCAGACCTTTCTTTCGTTGTTTACTGTGTACGAGGGATCATGGGAAACTTACTGCCAGCACTTTGAAGGCATGACATTTTTCCACCTCAGGCTTCTCAGTGGCCACAGGGAATGCTGACTGCTTTTTATTTATTTGAGTGGAGATTCTTGAAATGGTCAGTGAAAACTAATGTCTTAACAGTGGGATTTTCAGCAGAAGCATGCCATGTTGTCGAGCACATTTTAGATTTTTCTCAGTTGTGAGGAAGAAGACAAGATAATAGAGATACAGAATCTGGAAAGAATATCCCCCAGTCACAGTAGTGAGGCGCTCCTGGGAGCACGAGAAAAGAGATCTAATCCCACAGGAATGCAAAGACCACTCCCATCCCACCACACACTCCCCATATCACAGAACATCAGTAAGTTAGCAGCTTCTAAAGACGTAGTTTTCTTCTCCATAAATGCATGAAGATAGAGTGTCAGAGTCTCCTTACACGGTATTTTTAGGGTATTTGGGAGTTTGCAGGATATGAAGAATTTAGAAGGTGGAGGAAATGAAAGCTCCAGCCTTTCAGTTAATTAGAGGAAGCGTCACTCAAACTGTGCACCATGTGCACGGTCTTAAGAACTGCATTTGCAAACCTTTTGTGCTGTCAAAACTAATTTTTAAAAAGCTACCTGTATAACTATATATACATATATATTTAAAGACAAGGTTTTTGATACTTTTTTTTTTTTTTTACAAAAACTACAAGAGAAGACTGTACAAACCACCAACTTTTAAAATGGCATTTTGTTCTATACAAGCTGTGAACGTGAAGGGTAGAGTACTGGTTTGCAAACTCAAACCCTCCACATCGCCACATTTGGTATAATAGTAGGGCATGTAAAATGCTGGGTCGCACTAACCATTTCTGCTCTTGTCGTGTCATTCTGAGTTCCGTTAGCTTCTGTACGCAGACCCTTGGCAATCTAGCTTCTTCTAGAGGCCGAGAGGCTGAAGGAGGTGTGCTCCATTTCACTAGCTGTACTGACATCATCTTGGTGAACTGAAAACCAAATGTGGACATTTGTAAAATCAACACATTGTTTCTAGAGATTAAATTCATTTTTTAAAAAAAATCTGTTTCGTTTCATTGTGGTGCTTTAATGGGGGGGAGGTGTGGGCTATCACGTAATGTATACCAAATGGTTTACACAAATCACCCCAATCTTAGCAATAACCCTGTAAAATAATATCTTCAGTATTATCCACTCCTATTTTATAAAGAAATGGGTAACGTACAGGACTTTTTAGTAGTCCTAAAGAACAATAGCATGTGTAGCGGTCTCTGCCTAGGATTTCCTACTTGTTATTAAGTACTAAAACAGGTTTATCTCCTCCAGGAAGCAACCTCACGTTGGTTTGGGTTAGATAACTCCACATCGCCATTGTTATTTTTCCCTACCTGCTGCCCAATATTTCTGAGCTGCCACTTATTCTCCTGCCATTGAGGTGACTTTTACCAAGGTCATCTAGGGCCTCCCTTATTTGAAATCTTGGAGACACCTCCAGTCCTTTTCTTCCTTGACCTAAGAGCAGTATTTAACACTAGGCCATGCTTCCTGGAATGCTCTTATTTTAGTGTGAACACCGCCCTATTTCTGGTTTTCTCCTTACAGCTTTGGCCACAACTTAGTCCCCTTTGCCTACCCTTTGCATTATGGTATTTCACTTCAAATCCACTCACTTTTCAATCTGCATTGTTATTACCTGCACGGGGGTCATCATCGCATTACTACCCTCGTGGATACTTTAACAACTGCCTATCAACTTTCAGTTTTCCAGTCTAGCTTACATGACAGCCAAAATGGCACCTGTCTCTAATACCAATACTTCAGAGGCAAAGGTGGGTGAATATCTGTGCTCAAGCCCAGTCTCGCCTACACAGTGACTTCCAGGCCAGCCAGGGCTATATCGTGAGACCCTGTCTCAAAAACTAAAACAGTGGTATGTGAGGGAATGGTGAAATAGTTTATTTGGTAAAGATGTGTGTCAATCTTCTATAATTAGAGCTTTTATTGTTTCTGACCTATTCAACCTTAAAATTCTCTGTCAGAAAACTTTTACAGAGGTCAACTTTTTTTTTTTTTTTGGTTTTTGAGACAGGGTTTCTCTGTGGTTTTGGAGCCTGTCCTGGAACTAGCTCTTGTAGACCAGGCTGGTCTCGAACTCACAGAGATCCGCCTGCCTCTGCCTCCCAAGTGCTGGGATTAAAGGCGTGTGCCACCACCGCCCGGCCCCAGAGGTCAACTTTCATTCTTAAAAATGACCTCTTGGGTAGTGGTTCCCATGTTCGACTCACCTACTTTTTTTGTTTTGTTTTATGAGAGGGTGTCACTTTGTAGTCCTGGCTGGCTTGGAACTACTGTGTAGACCAGGCTGGGTTTAAACTCACAGAGATCTGCCCCACTCTACCCTCTGAAGTGCTGGGACTAAAGGCGTGGGCCACCATGCCTAGTTAGTTCTGGCCTGGGTATTTTTGGAGGCGTCAATGTGGGAGTCCATCAGTACGCAACCTGGGCTGAGTATCACTGCTGGGTCAGGCTACTAAGAGCAGGAATCCGACATCCATTTTAACATCCACCCACAACACCTATCCTAGACGTTAGCCTGGAAGACAGGAGATGAAAGGCAACTTGTGAACTTGTGCGTGAGCGGTGACACTCTGGAAGCTAAGGTAGGAGGGTTACAAGTCTCAGCTCAGTCCTGACCATGTAGCAGTACCCTGCCTGTATGTAAAATAAATGGCAGAAAGGAACGTCGGCAGTGCAGGCAATTAGGTGCAGGCAACGTTGTGGTTTGGGGAAGGAATCATTGAAAACAGTTTTCTTAAAAGACAGTTAAGTAAGCCAAGCAGTGGTGACGCACGCCTTTAATCTCAGCACGTGGGAGGCAGAGGCAGGTGGATCTCTGTGCGTTCAAGTTCAGCCTGGTCTACAGTGCGAGGTCCAGGACAGCCAGAGCCGTAAAAGAGAGAAACCCTGTCTCAAAAGACAATTAACAAAAACAAAAGTAAAACTTTTTCAAAACAGGGTCTTAGTATGCAGACCCTAGTCTCAAACTCGTGCCCCTCTGAATTAAGCTTTTGAGTACTAGACCATCGCTATTCGCTACTACTCTCGCCCTCAAAGTCTACTCCTGACTTAGACACTGGGGGCGGGGAAGGGCGCAGCGAGCTCAATGGCGGGGGAACCATTTTGTCCCATTTTACGGAGGTTCAGAGTGTGAATAGCCCCGTTCGACTCACTTTTGTCGGAGTGTTGGGTCTAAACCCTCCCTACAGGTAAAAGTCTCCTGACACACTCGTGAAGGAACACGCCCTCACGGAAGCCCAGCCCCTAGCAGAACACTGGACTTCCGGCCAGGGGAAGCGGTCATCTTGATCTCGCCTCAGGACGAGGGGGCGTGGCAATCTCGTTCCCGCCTCCCGAGAGCGAAAAACTGTTCGCGTCGCGGTGGCTTGACGTCATTTCCGAGCGCCAACAGGGCGCCGATAAAAGTAGTGTGATCTGTTCCTAAAGTTCGGTTTTGATTTCCCTTGTGAACTATGGAGAGTGACTTTTACCTGCGTTACTACGTGGGTCACAAAGGCAAGTTCGGTCATGAGTTTCTGGAGTTTGAATTCCGACCTGATGGTAAGAGCGACCCCGCGCCTGCCGGGAGAGGGACGGGACCTGGGGGAGGGCGCAGAAGCCGGGCTCGCGAATGTGGCGAAGTGAAGGAAGGGGCTGAGACCGGTACTGTTGGGTTGTGAAAGGCGCATTCTTTTTTCGGCTTCACTGGTTCTTTCTGTCCATACACTGGAGCTTCTCCTTAGTAACTTTTTAAAAAGCCGGATTGCTTACATTTCAACCAACATTGATTGAATGTCCATCTTACACCGGGCTGTGTTCCACTCTGGGGATAAAGCAACGAAGATAAATTTCCCCTTTCGTGGAAAATGTGCTTTAGTACTGGGAGAAACTATAAACAGTTATTTTCTATAGTGAGAAGTGATCAGGAAATAGGGTCGAACTGGGCAGTGGTAGCACACGCCTAATCCCAGCACTCGGGAGGCAGAGGCAGGCAGATCTCTGTGAGTTCAAGGCCAGCCTGGTCTACAAGAGCTAGTTCCAGTTAGGACTGTTACATAGAGAAACCCTGTCTCGAAAAGCCAAAAGAAAGGAAGAAAAAGTGAGAGAGAAGAGAAAAGAAAGGAAAAAAAATAGTGTCGCTTTTAGAGGGCACTCTGAAGAGTGGGTATTTGAATTGAGCCATAATTGAAAGGGATCGATTCGTGACGCTCATGAAGAAAAGCATTCTCTAGGAGTATCAAGTGAAAAGGCCATAGGACAGCAAAGAGCCAGGCATGTTTTAGGGGTCCATTGTGATAACTGAAGGATAATAGCGAATTCTAGGGGAAATAGTAGAATTTAGTGGCATTTCATTTTTTAATAAATAAAGCTTGTCTGAAGATCAGAGAGTAAAACAGCCCCTCTGGTCAGCTTTACAGATCAGGCAGTGGTAGCACCTTTAATCCCAGTAGCCACACTACTGGGCCGTGGAAACTGGGCGGTACTTGCCTTTAATTCCAGCCCTAGAAAGGATTATAAAACAGGAGGAAGCCAGGCAGTGGTGGCGCTCGCCTTTAATCTCAGCACTCAGGAGGCAGAGGCAGGTGGATCTATGTGAGTTCGAGGCCAGCCCAGTCTACAGAGCGAGTTCCAGGACTGGCTCCATAGCTACTAAGGTTCCCTGTCTCAAAAAAAAAGGGGATGGGGGCGCGGAGACTGCTCTCAGTCTCATTCTGAGATTCTTGGAGGCAGGATCACTTGAGGTAGAGGAAAGAGCCGGTGGCTAGCTGTTTTGCTTTTCTGACCTTCAGGTTGAACCCTAATATCTCTCTATGAGTTTTTATTGCTCACGCATCAGCAGGAGACGGTGTTAGGTAGGAGCTTTGCTATGTAGGTGTTTAAAGGCCATGGCATGAATAGGTGCAGCAGGAAACAACTTGAAACTTTTAAGAGAAAAGGTGTGATCTGTTCTTCAAAAAGGATCCTAGCTCTTGGGCACAGAGTAGGCTAGAGTGATGGTGGTTGTCGGGTCATAAGAGATGGTGATCAGGACTCGGACAACTAGGGCTGTAGATGTGGAGAAGATTTAGGATACTGTTGGTGACAATTAGAACGTATCTGATTGGTAACATTTGGGAAGGTTGCAGTGTGGTGAGGCGGCAAGGACAATTCTACTCAAATCTTTTCCTTTTCATTCTCTGTAAGATGGACAAGAAAATGTAGCAGCAGGCCGGTGTAATTAGATTATTGTAGGTCTCGGACACTGTCAATAGCTGCTCTCTTCCTTCCTGGTAAATTCAAAGCCCTTATCGTGGCATACGGCCACACTGAGTTCCTGCCTGCTTGCCAACCTAAGCCCTACACATACTCATCAAAACCCTGCTTTGTTTCTGCCTGCAACATCCCAAGCACTTTTTAATTTTCAGTCTCTTTGATGTGAATTCTGTTCAGGACACCATCTTGTCTTTTCTTGGTCCCTTAACCGACACCTACACCTTATTGTACATTCTTCCCATATCCCACCCACCCAAAGTCATTTTATGCATGAAACCTGTTCAGACCTTCAGCCTAAACTAGATGCTTCTTCTCCCCAGTTTCCTGATTTTTTTCTACAACAATACATTGTGGTTCTTTTGCTTTTTTTTTTTTTTTTTTTTTTTGGAGACAGGGTTTTACTGTGTAGCCTTGCCTGTTCCAAAATTGCCACGCAAACCAGATTAGTCTCAAACTCACAGAGATTCACCAGCCTCTGCCTCCTGAGTTCTGGGATTAAAGGTGTGTGCTTGGGTGATTTTGTTGTTTTTAATATTCTTCATCTCCACTACATGCCCAAACTGGCCTGATGGTTGTACACATGCACAAGGGGCCTTAGGAACCATATGTGCTCAGTTTAAAAGTATGCAGAAATTGAGCAGTGTCACGAGACCGCATGGGTGTGTATGTGTGTGTATTTGTGTATCTAGCTTTCTACAGTTTTCAAAATGCTTCGCAACCCAGTTGAGCCTCACCGTGTTCTCTGTGCGGGTAAGTTAACAATTACAATTCCTGTTTACAGCTGAGGTCCTTGACCTGCAAAAAGCTATTTGCCAGAGTAGTTAAAGAGCCTGCCTGCCTGTGTTCTTTTGCCACATCCTAGTAGCTTTTGCCTGAACTCTAGTTGAGTGTCAGGTGCACCGTCAGTGGGTTGGTAGTTTACAGTGGAATACTGAAGAGACAACTGTGAAGGGGGTTGAACTTGGGTATAATGTAGGCAAAGTTAATATCATTAGTAGGCTCCTGGTGCTTTCTTTGATCATGTTTTGTTGTACATTGCATTCATTTTTTTTTTTTTTTGCCCCCACAGGAAAACTGCGATATGCCAACAACAGCAATTACAAGAATGATGTCATGATCAGAAAGGAGGTACGATGCTCTCCTTCACTGCGCGAGCCTTTTGTTCTGCGGTGTTTGTGCTCTCTGGTAGTGATGACAAATGAAGAGTGGGAACACGTGCTCGGTTCTTTTTCTTTTCTCTTTGGTTTGCTGTTGTCTGGTTCTCTTTTTTGTTTTTTGTTTTTTTTTTTTTTATTACTATTTTGTTTTGGGTGTTTTGTTTGTTTGTTTTTAGATAGAGATTTCTCTGTGTAGCCCTGACTGTCCTGGAACTCCCTCTATACACCAAGCGAGCCTCAAACTCAGATATTCGCCTGCCTCTGCCTACCCTGGAAATAAGGCATGCGCATACTACCTGACATATATGTATGTTCTTTAGACCCTGAATATAAATGCCCATGGGACTGTGTAGTCTGCCATATTTATATACATGAAATTAAAGCCCAGATATTAAATCTGAGGCTCGTTCTAAGTATTCTTGCTTGTCAGAGATAATGGCCAGAATTTAGGCATACTCATTTCTCAGTAAGCTCTGTGTTCCGTTAACGCATTTTAAACCTGATTTTAGGCTTATGTACATAAAAGTGTGATGGAGGAATTGAAGAGAATCATTGATGACAGTGAAATCACCAAGGAAGATGATGCTCTGTGGCCCCCTCCTGACCGAGTAGGCCGGCAGGTGAGTGCTCTACTGATTGTACTTCTCACAAAGGAGATGCAGACTGCTGCTCTGTGGGACACTGGGGCAGGAGAGAGAACTGGTAGTCCCATGTGGGTGCTGGGAATGGAACCCAGGTCCTCTGGAAGAGCAACTAGTGCTCTTAACCAGCTGCCCAGCGCTGTTACTTTTTTAATAACTAAAAAATAAAAGATAATTCTACCTCAACTGCTACTACTCTACTCCGTTCTTCTGGTTTCTGTGTTTCTACCCTACAGCCAGGGGGTTCTTTGACAATGTAAATTGTGCTGAGCATGTTGGCGTATGTCTCTAGTCTCAGCGCGTGGGAAACAGGCTGGCAGGCCTCTGTGAGTTCTAGACCAGCCAAAGTTACATAGTGAGACCCATCTCAAAAAATAAAGACAACTTTCTCTTCTTAAAGGAAAAGATTTGTAAATTTGACTTGAATAAACTTAAAACTTGTTTTACCGAAGACATCTAAATAAGTTGAAAAGAGCCACAGACTGGATGAAGATTCTTGGAAAATATATCTAACAAGGAGTGTCTCTACAGAATATATAAAGAACTATAAGGCAATAAAAAGATAACCCGACGTGGGAGGAAAATGTTACAACGGATATAAATAGACAGTCTATAGACTCAAACATTGAACTCAGATATTGAACAGACTTACAGGTGCATTTGTAACCTGTAAAAATTAGGACATCACGTTTTCTAAAGCTTCACCCAGGTCTTCAAAAATATAGAAAGAATTCATACACCTATGGCAGGAAAAAAGTACCAGTGTGGCCATATTAGGAAACCATTTGGATAGGAACTGGCAGAGCGGAAAATACTTAGTTTTGGTGGAGCTGGGGACCCAACTCCAGTACTAGCACAGATATTTACTGTGACCTCAGCCCCAAGACCTAGAACGTTCTTTCCACATCATGACTAGTAACAAAACTTGGGAACTTAAGTCTGCTTCAGTAAGGAAACGGCATATTCAGTGCATTTAAATTGTTGAGTAGATCAACATGGATAAATCCTAGAAAAAACACGTGTAATATATATATACATATACATATATATATATACACACACACACACACATACATCAGGTATGGCCATTTATTTTAAAAGTATGCTGCTAAATCTGGAAAAGCAAGCGGCAGGAATACACACCAGTTTTAGGGGATGCCAAAGAATAGAGTGGGATACAGGTATAACTTGTGCTTCTTTTAATAAAGTAGGGAGTCTCAAGATAGACCAGTGGGTAACGGCTCTTGTTGCCACACTTGGCAGCACGAGTTCATTCTCCATAACCCACATAAAGGTGTAAGGAGAAACTCCTATAAGCTGTCCTCTGACCTCTAGAATGTGCCCCGAGATTTGTACCTACATGCATACATCACATACACACCAATAAGTAAATATTATTTTAAAAGAAGAAAAAGGCTGGAGAGGTGGCTTGGTGGATGCAGGCATGAAGATCAGAGTTTGAATGAGCCTTGTCCTGTGTGCTTGATTAATGACCCAGTGCTGTCTTTGTTTTTGTTTTGTTTTTTAATGTTTCTAGGAGCTTGAAATTGTCATTGGCGATGAACACATTTCTTTTACAACATCAAAAATTGGTTCCCTTATTGATGTCAACCAGTCTAAGTAAGTATATATGACATTTATATCCAGTAGTGTCTGTTGTTAGAGAGTAAAAAGAAAATGTCAGCTGGGCAGTGGTGGCACATGCCTTAATCCCAGCACTTGGGAGGCAGAGGCAGGTGGATCTCTCTGAGTTCGAGACCAGCTTGGTCTACAAGAGCTAGTTCCAGGACAGGCTCCAAAGCTACAGAGAAACCCTGTCTCAAAAAACAAAAACAGAAAGGAAGGACAGAAAATGTCAGTCAAATGGGGCCAGCATAGAAGGATGTGGTGCAGACACAAGACAGAAGTCAGCATGGTCCTCCTCATTCATAGGCTTCAGGTTACACTTGTCTTTCAGTCTCGTGGAGGGTTGGTTCCAGGAATTTTGGTACCAGAATCTTGAATGCTCAATTCCCTTAGTTAAAATAGTGTCATATTTTCACAGAGCCTGTGTACTTCTCATATACTTTAAATCATCTTTATAAAACCAAATTCTGTGTGAATATCTGTTATATCATTTAGGAAATAACAGCAATGAAAACCATCTGAACATGTATATGATAGTTGGGAACTTCATGAACCTGACTGTCTTCATTCATGGCTGAACCCAAAAATGCATAGCTTATGGATTCAGGCCAATTGTGTTTTCAAAGGCTGCTTCTTTTACTTGTGGTGGTTCATTCAGTTACTGCTTTTCCGTGACACTGAGGAAAGCATAGTAGCAACCAGAAGAGAAAATTAAGGCCAAACAAATGTAGTTTCTCAGTGTTGACTGTTCAGACTACCCTGTCTTAGTCTCGTATCTAAATTTTAAGATTCATGTTGCCCGTGGTGTGAATGATAACATGGAGTGGGATCTATTTGTTACAAAGAATCGGGAGGGGTGGCTGTTTGTTTGCGGTACTGGGAATTGAACGTGGTTAGAGCCTTGCTCCACCACTGACCTAGATTTCCAACTTTTAAAAAGCATAAGACAGAATCTGTTTTAGAAATCATGGTTTCCTCCTTGGTTTTATGTTTTTCACAGTAAAAACAGCACACTTACTCCATTTTAATAAGTGACCCTTTCCTTCTTAGTGGACATGTGCTTCCTCAGGGTTTTACTACTGTAAATACCTTCATAAGGAGCATTTTTGTGGTAATCAGGGTTATTTTATTTGCCAATTTTCCTCTGCTTCTTAAACATCTTTATTTTCTTTTGTATTTTAGGGATCCAGAAGGCTTACGAGTGTTTTATTATCTTGTACAGGACCTGAAGTGTTTAGTCTTCAGCCTTATTGGATTACATTTCAAGATTAAACCAATCTAGATTGGATATTGTGGACATGAGGGGGTGGGAATTTTTAGTTACCATAATTAGGAATTTTTTTCTGTATATGGGGGCAATTTTTATAAACAATAAATGATGGTCTTTAATAAATGTGATAACATCTACTTTTTGTTACTTTTCTGAACACCTAATGTGTGAATTATTTCTCATGTAAAATACAAACATTCAATGAGGCCAGGGAGATGGTTCTGGCAGTGAAGCTTTAGCTGCATAAGCCTGACATGACAACCACCATCTCCATCCCTGAGACCCGCATGGGCCAGCCAGCCTGGACTAAGCAAGCACCCAGCCGCAGAAACAGGGACCCTGCCTCAACAAGGTGGAAGGCAAGAAATGACTCTAAATTTTTACACCTGTGCTGTGGCACGGGCGCATGCTGGTGTACACACATATACTAAATATTTTTTTTTTTTAATACAAGAGTTGGGAATCTCAGCAATATTGAAAGGAGATTCCGGTGATGTGGGAGTGTCATATATCAATCTGTTGATTTCATTGGTTAAGTAATAATAAACCAACTGCTTGGCCTCATAGCTTAGAACATAGGTGGGCAGAATAAACAGAATAGGATGCTGGGCGGAAGAGGAAGTGAGGTCAGACTCTGCTCTGCTCCCGGAGAGACGCCATGCTCAGCTCTGCCGGATAGACACGATAGCTATGCGCTCTGAGGCAGACGCATGAAGCAGAGACACCAGGATGGACGGAGGCTAGACTCTTCCCGGTAAGCGCACCTTGGGGTGCTTACACACATCATTAGAAATGGGCTAGTCCAGGTGCGAGAATTAGCCTGTAAGGGCTAGAGTTCATGGGCCAAGCAGTTCTTAAATGAATACAGTTTGTGTGTTGTTATTTCGGGCATGAGCTAGCCAAGCGGCCGGGGTGTTGGGGACACAGCCCCGCCGCCGCTCTTATTTCAACATTCCGGGACAATTTTGTTTTAACAGAGAGCCTCCCTTCGTTTTTGCTGCCCAGGATAGCTTAGAACTTGGGATCAGCCTCCCAAGTACTGGGGTTGCAGGCTGGTGCCATCACACCCAGTGTCCAAGGGAAAAGGAACCTAGATATTTACAAGACAAATCAACTAGAAAAGTGCCTGCTTACCATTCATGACGTCTTGGATTTTATCTCCACTAAAGCAGACAAAATAATACAATGTTTGACCCTAACTGGGTCATGATAAAATCTAAAGTTGACACCACTAAAGAAATAAACATTGGCTATTGGGTTTACGTATAGTGCGTGTAAGACTGGGTTTTATACATACTAAGCAAGTGTTCCACCACTAGGCTACATTTCACAGCCGGGTAGTGTTAGCTTCTTGGGCATGAAACTGCATTGTGGTGAGGCTTTCTGTTTTTTCTTTTTTTTAAACAGATTCTGTATTTCAATGTGAAGGAAAACTTCAGCATGTGGATTGATAGTTTTCTCTTGCTGTTACATAAACTTCATGACTTTAGGCCAGTAGCTGGGTAGATTGCACCAGGAGAGAAGGGACATGATGGACCTAAATACACATCCATCCTTAGAGACATCCCCACCTTAGACAATGTCCCAAAAGCGTTCTTAGAGTCCATGATTCACTCTGCTGCTTCAAGCTAGGAATATCATTTGTATCTGACAAGGCAGGATGCCAGACTATTGAGATGAAAAAGCTTTTTTTTTTTTATGACACAAATGGGGAGATGGCTCGACGATTTAGAGTACTTGTTGCAGAGTACCCCAATCCAGTTCCTAGCATCCATATGGTGGCTCACAGTCAACCGTTACTGGGGGATCCGGTGCCTTCTTCGGGTCTCGGCGGGAGCCGCATGCATATGTGGTGCACACATGCACAAAACGGCAAAACACGCAAACACATAAAATTAAAAAGACGAGGTTATAAAAGTTTCAAGTGGATGACATTTTCGAATGTTGATGCCAACGGGCTCCTGCAGTGTCGGTAAAAAGATATGATAGAGGGCTGGAGAGATGGCTCAGCGGTTAAGAGCATTGCCTGCTCTTCCAAAGGTCCTGAGTTCAATTCCCAGCAACCACGTGGTGGCTCACAACCATCTGTAATGAGGTCTGGTGCCCTCTTCTGGCCTGCAGGCATACACAGAATATTGTATACACAATAAATAAATAAATATTAAAAAAAAGATATGATAGAGTAAGACCGTAGGGGTGAACCAGCTGTTTTCAGACACTGACCACAAGGACGTCGACACAGTGTAGCCCTGTGGGAAAGATCGCAGCATCAGGTCCGGCATGTAGACCGAGTGAGCAGTTTAGCGGTGGGCCACTACGCCAAGTCCGGGAGGCTGCAACCTAAGACGAGTCAGGACCACAAGGTAGTAAGGAAGCGGAAAGAAAACTGAGGGGCTAGAGCGGTCTAGCAGAGGTCTCGAGCCAGAATGCCCTGCCTGCTTGGTGGTGGCACAAATTGAGAAGCAGGAACTATCTCTGGCATTAGCGACTCCACGGGTCCCAGCGCACCCACAGAGAAAAGCTCTCCCCGGCGGATTACACGGCTCCACAACGCCCCGATTCCCGCCCACCCGCACTGAGGCTGCGCGGCGGTGCCAGCCTTTTACGACGGGCCGGAAAGCAGAGGCCGCAGCGGCATAACGTGGACCAGGCAGCAATGGGGGTAAGGGGAGGGGACTCGCCACCGGAGCGTCCGGTAGCCGAGCCAGAGGTGGGGTGAAGGCGGCGAGGACCCGACAGTCGCGAGCTCTACCAGGATGGGGTGAAAGGAGTGAACTCGCGTTGAAGCCCCCGGGCTTGAGCTGGGAGGGGCGGGGCGGGGTGGGGCGGGGCACGCGGCTATGCACGCGCGGCTGTGCATTCAGCCTGGCCCGCCCTCTCCTTAGAAAATCGCGCTGCAGCTCAAAGCCACGCTGGAGAACGTCACCAACCTTCGGCCAGTGGGTGAGGACTTCCGGTGGTATCTGAAGGTGAGGCGGAAGGCGGATCCCTCCTAGGAAAGGGAGGAGCATCGGGAGGCAGTGGACGTCTTAGGGCTCAGGCCAAGCCGTGATCTCAGTATAGAAGTGGGAGCGTTTCTCTTGTGCTGGGTCCCGAGGTAGTTAATCAGGCATATAAGTGGGGTTTTCAGGCTGGAATTTTAGATTTTATTTTTATTGATTATATTAGTCTCATATAATCTAGTCTGCTCTTTAAGTAGCGGAGGATAACTGATTTTGCCCTTCCCTTCCGTGTACTGGGATTACAGATGGGCGACCTCCTCCCACGGTGGGGCTTGGTCTTTTTCCCCCTCTGCAGTCCTGGGCATATATCCGAATCTAGGGCCGTACGTTAGCATTCTTCCAATGTGTAGTCTCCCCAGCTCTTGATGTGTAAACAGACACTGAACAAAATGTTATTTGAGGGGATCTTGTGATTACTTAATAAGGTGAATAAAACTCAACTTGTTTTATTTTCTGGCTCATCTTACTGTGAAAGTTGACCACCCTTTGTCTCACACAGTACTAGGTGCCCTGTCGGTGTGCTCTATAGAGGTCCAAACTGTGAGGCTTTTCACGTTCCAGATTCTGCTTTATTTTCCTAGCCTATCCCAGTGACTCACATACCCATCCAAAGCCTTGCCTTTCAGGAAGTCATTACTGATCCTTTTATTACCATTTAATCCCCTCGGTACTAGACAAGTGCTCGACTTCTGCATCCACAGTTCCTGTTTCCAAATGTTTTAGAGCATGAGTTCCAGGGCTCAGTTGGAAATTGAACTTCTTTGATTTGAAGGAATAATAGAATAAGAAAGAAGACAGAAAAGAAAAAACAAAATGCTGAAAGCTTTACCCCAGCACTCTTAGGACCCTAAATGCAAAGCTCCTAGCTAGGCACAGTTGCTCGGGGCTCTGTGACTTGGATTTCCCAGCCAAATGATAGGTATTTTAGAAGAGGGTAGGGATGATGGCATCAGAAACAACTTGTTCCTTGACTGGAGATAAGTCTGCTCGTGTCCTCCTTGGGGTTGGTTGTAGGATGCGCTAAGACTCGCCTAGAAAATAGGCTACGTTAGACATAGTGGCACGCACTCGGAATCCCAGTACTCCAAAAGCAGAGGCAGGAAGATCTCAGGGTCAAAAACAGTTTGGGCTACATAGCGAGAGCCTAGCTAAAACAGATAGATAGAAGCTGTGGTAGGCTATGAGCCCGCTTCACACTATACTGCACTCGCCCTTCCTGAGGTGTCTTTGTTACTGCGCCAACTGCTCAACTAATATTCTTTTTCTGCCCCAAGATGAAATGTGGCAACTGCGGTGAGATTTCAGAGAAGTGGCAATACATCCGACTGATGGTAATAGTCCCTACTGCGCATACTCCTGGGCAGAGTTGGGGTTGTTTGGTTGGGTTGGTTTGGTGACTTCCGAGAGCAAGCACCATTGTGGTCAGCACTGGGAACAACAGGCATCTTTGGAATATGAGGCAAAGTTCAAAATCAAGGGGGACCTTTTTTTCTCAATCACAAAAAGACTCCTTAGGGTGCTGCCCCACCCCACCCCAGGTGTGCTGAGGAATTGACTCCAGGACTCTGCACATCCTAAACATGCTCTACCACTGAGCTACCCCAACTCTCTTTGACATCTGTCAGCAAGTGACTCGCTTCTGTGGGTCTTGGTCTCTTCCACTGGATAACAGGGATGCGATCTCTGGGACCGTTGCATCTAGCTGGTACGTAACTAGAGGTTATGTTTGTTTCTTGTTAGGACAGTGTGGCGTTGAAAGGTGGCCGTGGCAGTGCCTCCATGGTCCAGAAGTGCAAACTGTGTGCACGGGAAAACTCCATTGGTAGGTTAGGCAATGATGGCCAGATTCTTCCAGGCTGACTGGAAGCAGACACAGGGCTGAAGTGCTAAACCCTGGGCAGCTCGCTCTTTTTCCTTGAGTGGAGCGTGAGTATAGAGTCAAGTCAACTTTTCCTTTTTGTATTTCAGAAATTTTGAGCAGCACCATCAAGTCTTACAATGTAAGTTCCCTGCTGTAGTGACAGGGGTGGTCGAATTAAATCTGAACTGGTGGTTAGGAGGAGTGGATTCAAGAGTAGCTGCATCAGAGTGGCCAAACCACTGGACATTGTCCCATGTACTTAACACTTTTGATGTTGTTGTTATTTGAGACTAGGTCTCACTAGGTAGTTCAGGCTTGGCTCAACCTCAGCCTACTCCTGTTTCAGCCTCCTGAATGCTGAGATGACAGGCACTTGCCACCATGCCTTCTTGCAGGGAGCATGCTCTTTAATGTACTTAGTTGTTTGTTGGCTCGGTCCATCTTTTGCCCACCATACACTGCGTGGTATTGCAGTGTTTTCCTGAAGTACAGTGGATTGAAAATTTGGGCATGGTCCTGGGTAGTCACTGAGCCCATGGGTGAAGTAGGCATGGGTTTCTTGGCCACCCACCTCCTAAGAGGCACCCTCTTCAGTCGCCCAGCCCTTGTCCTCATGGCATAGTAGATGGTTAGCAAAAGGCCATGGTATGCCTACTGGGACCATACGGATGGTCTGGAGCCTTGGAACATGACATTCTTACTGTCTTCTGGGTGCTGATCATTTACCATTCATGGAACTGTGATCGGCTCTTCCTATGTGATTCAGATCTCACAATGAACATGTAGGTTTTCCTCAGCTCTGTAGACATGCAGGAAGGCCGACCCAAGGACCCTTACTCTTCTACAGAAACTGCGCCTACAGAAGGTCCTCCTGGGAGCGGTGTCCAAGTCAGGCTTCTTTTAAAAAGGGCTAAGTTGTTCTGGGTCCTGTTCTGGGCTCATGGGTCCAGTAAGGATCTACATAGCAGAAAGGACAGAGGGCATGGGTCTCCTGGGGACCCATTGGGCCTGCATCCTCAATATGCTTCCTTTCTAGGCTGAAGACAATGAGAAGTTCAAGACAATAGTAGAGTTTGAGTGTCGTGGCCTTGAACCAATTGACTTCCAGCCCCAGGTTTGTATTTTTAAGAGGACTTTCGGGGGAGGGAATGTAGTAACAGAACTTTGCTTCTTACAGAAACTGTGAAATAGGAATTCTCCATCTTGCTCTTCCCTTCAGTGTTAGCACTGAGCTATAACACAAGTCAGGAATTCTATGAATAGTAATTGTCACTTATTAAATGCCTGCTGTATGCTGTGCTCCATGCCTGTTTCCTTTACATGTTACTTCATTTCATCCTTACTGTAACCCTAGGGAGTGATTCATCCTAATTCCATACAAGGGGATGTCAGAGACTGTGCATGTCTTAGTTAGGGTTTTATTGCTGGGAAGAGACACTATGACCACAGCAGCTCTTATAAAGGAAACATTTCATTGGGGCTGGTTTAGGTTTCAGAGGTTCAGTCCATTATCATCATGGCGGAGAGCATGGCGACCTGCAGGCAGATGTGCTAGAGGGGCTGAGAGCCCTACATTTTGTAGGCAGAGGACACTGCGTGGTATCCTAAGCATAAGAAACCTCAAAGTCTGTCCCCACAGTGACACTCTTCCTCTAGCAAGACCATACTTATTCCAGCAAAGCCACACCTCCTAATAGTGCCATTCCCTATGAGTTTATGGGGGCCAAATACATTCAAACTACCACAGTGCGGTTTGCCAGGGTCCTACAGTTAGTAAGCAGAGGGCTGTAAACTGAACCCAGGTCTGTCTGACTCTTACAACCTGGTCTACATAGGGAGTCCTAGGACAGCCAGAGCTGTGTAGAGAAGATCCTATCTCAGAAAAATCAAACAAAACAAAAACTAAAAACGAAGGTTCAGTCAGAGAAGAGTGGAATGTGTACCCAGGTCCTTTAACAGACAGAGGTGATGGAAAATTTACCCCACTCTTGCCTTTGTTCTGGGCTAGTTTTTGTTAACACAAACCAGAATCACCAGAATAGGGAGCCTCAACTGAAGAACTGTCCTGATTGCCTATTGAGGAGAGCCCGGGATATATAAGGAAGATAGCTGAGGCCACACGCCTTTAGTCCCAGCACTTGCAGGGTAGAGGCAGATGCTCAAAACCAGCCTGGTTTTCATAGTAAGTTCCAGGTCAACCAGAGCTCTATAGTGAGACCTGTCTCAAAAAAGAAAGAATGAAGGGAAAGGGGGGGGGGGAGAGAAGAGAAAGGAAAGTAGGCAAGTGGGCCAGAAGCAGTCTTCCTGGATGGCCTCTGCTGGTTCCTGTCTCCAGGGTCCTGCCTCGGCTTCCCTGGGCCATGGGCTACAGCAGTAAACCCTTCCTCCCCAAGCTGCCTTTGGATCATGATGGTATTGCAGCAACAGAAGGAAGCCAAGGCAGTTTTATAGGCCAGGGCTGTAACTTAGATACACTGTGGAGTGCGAGTCACTGGCAGGGAAGCTCGGGTTTGTCAGGAGCCGCTGCTTATGCTGCAGTTGCTTTCATGGTGAA